TTCCAAGAGTATTTTTCCACTTACGACCGTTCTTGTAATGTCCCGAAACCCCTCTAGGGGGATTGTAGTAACTTTGTTTCCTCTGATCCAAAAGTCCGATTGTTGTTCCTTATTTTCGACATTTTGTATCCAAATCGTAACAAATCGTAACAAATTGTAACGAAATTAACTAGCAAAGTCCTCATAGCAGAGTCCTCTTTAAATTTTCCGACTTTGACAGCTACTTTGACAGCTGTCAAAGTCTCCGTCTCTTTTCACCAGGCTCTCTCACAAATCGCCCCGGTTCCCAGGGGGGGTTACGTTTTCCTTCTCACTCCACTCTTCTCCTCCAGCACAGTTCTTGTAATTTCCCATCGTGGAATTCTTAATTTTTGTCAGAAATACGCTTCTCTCTAGACCTTGATTACCCAGTCCTTGTTTTAAAATGCTTACAGTAGGGAGGGGGACAGACTTCCTTTTTGGATCCCCCCCGCTCGTGCCAAATTCCTTTCCCCCCCTCCTTTTAAACCCGGTTTCCGAATTACTCACGGGTTGTTGTTAAAAGTCCGAATTTTCAATGGAAGAAGTCAGCGCTCTCCGCCGAATGGCATGCGGCTTCGCTCGGCAGGGAAAGCAGAGGACTCACAGCACCACACCACTCCCCGGCACCCGATCCGTAGCCTTTAAAAAGGCTCCTTCACGAGTCGGGAGGGCGCTAACGGTGCCAGCCGAGTCACCCATGTCCACGGGCTCCGTGCCCGTGGTTTTTAAGGGTCCCCGCGTCGCCGGCGTGGTAGGACCCAGCCCCTGCCGAGCAGACTCCCTCCGGAGCTTGGAGGGAGTCCGCCATTCGGCGATGGCGCCAACCCGGAAGTCATGGGGAAAAGCTTGCCTTTCATTTTGAAATTTATTTAATTTATATCCCTCCCTCCAATAACCTCGGGAAAATGGAATCTATTTTTATTCTCTGAATAAACCTGTGAGGCAAGCTATGCTAAGACTATGGGTTCACCCAGGGCTACTTCTTGAATTTCAGGGCTGACTGGAGATGAATAATAATAATAATAATAATAATAATAGATAATTAATTTATTATTTATACCCCGCCCATCTGGCTGGGTTTCCCCAGCCACTCTCGGCGGCTACCAACAGAATATTTAAAATATGATAAAACATTCCCTAAACTTCTCTAAACAGGGCTGCCTTAACTCTGCTATCCTCTGGTATCCTCAGTACACAACTCAGGATCAGTTTGGAAAATCCTTCAAAGCAATGCCAGGATTTTTACACAGCCTGCCTCCTGCTCCCCTCTTTGTTCTTCTGTTTCTTGGTTGCAATAACCATAGTTTTTTGCAGTGACCATCTGAGTTGGGCAAACTTAAGATAGTGTTAACTTCCAAACTAGGGTTTGGAGCAGGGGTGAGAAACCTGAACGTGTTGTTGGGCTCCCAGCTCCCATCAGCCCCAGTCATTATGGCCAATGGTCAGGGATGATGGGAGTTGTAGTCCAAAGGTATCAGGATCTTCATCCCTAGTGCATGGACTGTCACAGCACAGTCCAGGTTTACTCCAGAAGCAAATTCCACTATATTGAATGGGGCTTACCCTCTAGTAAGTGTGCTCTAGGATTGCAGACTCAGTGACTCTTGGCAGTGGTGATTGCCTCCGATTCCCAGCACTGGATTTAGGGGTTAGCACTAAGCATAAGTTGCCATATTTTGAACTTCGTGACAATGTGTGGGTTTTGCAACCTGGAGTTGGAGGACGGAACCCACTTGTGAGGGGAGTGGAAGAGAGTCGGATCATGCAATTGAATTGACTGTCCCATTCTTCAGGCTTTCCTTAATTGAGCTTTAGCTTCTGTCTCACCCAGCCAAGCGGCTCAGGTCATGTTTTGTAATGGTGGGGGCTGTTCTGTGGTGTTGGGTGAACACTTTACAAGCATTTGCTGCTATTATTGTGGGGCCAGCTGCCCAACCAGTCTCTGGCTTGGTTGCAGCAGCAACAGCTTCCACCTGTTTTCTCTCTCCACCACCCCCTCTCATTTTGTGTTTTGAACTCTCTCAATCTCCTTTTTGGTTTGCAAGCATTTTAGCATGGTGTTTGGGGTCCCTGGCTCAGGCTGCACTTGGCGATAGTGCTAGCTGCCAAGGGGGCAATATTCTGGGCATGGAGGTAGCTTGTGTCCTGGTGAATTGTATTTTTAACATCAACTATTATCCCCTTTTCACATGTGGCTCTTGGTCAGTTAATCCTCTTGGCTTCTAGAGTTGGTATATTTTTGCTTCCCCGTTTTTTGCTGTCATGTTTTTGTAAGAATGTGTTTGGGGCCCTTTGTAGTTTATTTTTTTTAAATGAAGTACTGTACGAGACTTATAGGATTTAGCTTACTTATTTTTATCTGTTTTTAATTTACCCTTCCTAAAGTTTTACTCACCACTGCCAAAGCTCCCCACCCACTTCTTGGGGGAAGACTACTTATAATGTGTGTTCTTCATTTTTTGTTGTTATATTGTAAACCACCCTGATATCCTCGGATGAAGGGCTGTATATAAATTTAATGAATAATAATAATGCATTTTTAATTGTAAAAATGAACAGGGACTCTAGCATGGCAGCAGCAGTGTAAAACAATGAATGTGCTTATTTTAAGTAATAACTGTAGACTAATTAATATACTACCTCTCACTTCCAAGGGCGCTACAAAAATAACAATTAAAAATAAAAAGTATCACTAGAAGTATCTGGGATATGTATGTTTTGGAATTCACCCTGGGGAAATTTAGCTTTGGTTTCAGCATTTGGCATCCAAAGGATTCCTTTTTTTTAAAGAACAGAAGCACCTAGTCCTCAAGGCTGTAAAGTCCAAGTATGTGAATTATGTCTGTTGCAGGGTGTGAAGCCTGATGGGGATCAAAGTGGATTTCTAGTGGCTGGACTTCAGGGCTTTCCTTACTCTCTTCCTGCCCTCCTCCACACTCCATTAGCAGAACGTACACTAGTGGCCAAAATTGTGGAAACCTTTTGGGAAAAGCATATTTCTGAGGTTTGATGGCTCATAACACCACTTTTTTTGGAGTACTACCATAAAATTATATATCAATGGAAACATAATTTAATGAAGAATGTAATGCAACAAAATTTCTTCAATTATCTGTTTTCTGTTAAAAGCTAGAGCCAAATAACCAGAAAAAAGGAAGCACAACTTGCTTGGGTTGATTTGCAGTAGGTTTCCTTCATTTGAATGTAGCCAATGAGCATGAGTGTTTACAGAGCAGGGGTCAGCAAACTTTTTCAGCAGGGGGGCGGTCTACTGTACCTCAGACCTTGGGGGGGGTGGACTATTTGGGGGGGGGATGAATGAATTCCAATGCCCCACAAATAACCCAGAGATGCATTTTAAATAAAAGGACACATTCTACTCATGTAAAAACTGCTGATTCCCAGACTGTCAGCAGGCCAGATTTGGAAGGCGATTGGGCCAGATCCGGGCCCCAGGCCTTAGTTTGCCTACCCATGGTTTAGAGAGCCACTCATGTGTTATGAGCCATCAAACCTCGGAAATACACTTTTTTTCAAAAGGTTTCCACAATTTTGGCCACTAGTGTACCTGGATGCAACTAAACATGCAAATATATGCTTGATTTTCATGATTTACACATCCTTCCAAGGTGCAGCTTCTTTTAGAGCACAGTTTTAACTTGAGGCAGCCCTCAGATGATAAAATTTGGGGGGTTTATAATTTTTTAAAGGAAAGATTCAGTATAACAACAGAACTTTAATGTGCGAAGAGCCCGTTCTGGGCTGTAGCCCAGTTACTTCTCCTTTCATTTTCCCCCATCCCAATAGACACTCTGCATCCTTTGCCAAGTAACCATGTTAAGTCCTTACTGAGCACTTTATTCTTTGGTGGTAGGAGATTGCACCATTGAGGGTTTTTCGCTAAAAAATTTTTTTAGCATGTGTGCGATTGTGCACCTCTGTAAACATCTGAGTCCCTCCCCAGTTGTGTTTGGAGATGGCACTGCTTTAGCCGCAGAAGAACCAGGCTTTTGGAGAATTGAGATTGGATAGGTTAAATATAAGAGATGCGTACAAAAATATACCAGTGGTTTTTCATCTATGGCAGCATTTGATTGACCTTGGATAAAGAAATATATGAGAAAGAGCAACGGTACAAATTGCTGTAAAACTGTATTAGAGAACATATAAAGAATAGATTAATAATTCATTATTAGAATAAAATCATACAACGGGAATTGACGAAGTCCAAAACCTTTATGATATTTTTGTTAATAATTTTTGTTAATAATCGCATAAAAAGTAGCATAAATACAGCTGAAGCTTAAGGTTCATAATTATGTAAGAAAAGATAAGTATATGGGTTTTTTTCTCTTTTTTGTGTACATGATTGAAATTTCAATTTACTATATATATGTAATGTATTGTAAGACTATTAATAAAGCTTGTTACATGTTTTTTTAAAAAAGAGATCGCTTGTGCGATATAGATAGATAGAGATAGATAGATAGATAGATAGATAGATAGATAGATAGATAGATGATAGATAGATAGATAGATAGATAGATAGAGTGGTACCTCACAAGACGAATGCCTTGCAAGACAAAAAAACTCGCTAGACGAAAGGGTTTTTTGTTTTTTGAGCTGCTTCGCAAGACGATTTTCCCTATGGGCTTGCTTCGCAAGACGGAAACGTCTTGCAAGTTTGTTTCCTTTTTCTTAACACCGTTAATACAGTTGCGACTTGACTTCGAGGAGCAACTCATAGAACGCGGTGTGGTAGCCTTTTTTGAGGTTTTTAAAGACTTTGGTGATTTTTGAAGCTTTTCCAAAACTTTCCCGGCACCGTGCTTCGCAAGACGAAAAAAATCGCGAGACGACAAAACTCGCGGAACGAATTAATTTCGTCTTGCGAGGCACCACTGTAGATAGATAGATAGGGTTCCAGATGGCTGTATGAATTTGCTGATCACCCTTCTCTTTCCCCCACTCCTTCACAGGCAAGCAGCCCTCAAGACCTTCGGCTCTTCTATGAGAAAAACAAGATGCTCATGCCCAAGTAAGCATTCTTTCGGTGCTGCTATTCTCTGCTTTCTCTCTCCCTCGAACTTCACTGCCACTTGCTCGACTCTTCTCAACACCTGTCCCCTTGTGCTCTCAGCTGGGCATGTTTAGAAATCACTTGGCAACCTGCCTCCTCCGTCTGTTAGCCTGGAATGACAGAGCCCAGAGGCTGGCAAGCTGAAACTTGGTTACCTTGGTTGACCCCGTCCAGGAGCACAAAAACAATCCAAGCGGATTCTTTTTCGCATTTTCTTCTTTCTTTTTGAGGGAGGGAGGAGGCTTGGACAGCTTTAACAGGCAAAAACATCCCCAGCTGAGCTTAGCAAAAGACGTCTGTTTCACCCAAGTGTCATTCGCGCCATCCCTGATGAAAACAGGTCCAAGCCCTTATACCTATAATAGAGCATTTTATGACCATTATCTCAGGGAGAATCCTGTGTGGTTGTGGGTTAGCATTAATCATTCCTAGACAGCAAAGGCTGAGAGGGGATATGGAAGAGGGAGCATGCTTGTTTTCGAGAGCCAGTGTGGTGTAGTGGTTAAGAGCGGTGGTCACGTAATCTGGGGAACCGGGTTCGCGTCTCTGCTCCTCCACATGCAGCTGCTGGGTGACCTTGGGCCAGTCACACTTCTTTGAAGTCTCTCAGCCCCACTCACCTCACAGAGTGTTTGTTGTGGGGGAGGAAGGGAAAAGGAGAATGTTAGCCGCTTTGAGACTCCTTAAAGGGAGTGAAAGGCGGGATATCAAATCCAAAACTCTTCTCTTCTTCTTCTCTCTTCTCCTGCTCTGGAGGATAGGACTCGAACCAGTGGCTTTCAGTTACAAGAAAGGAGATTCTGACTAGGCATACGGAAAAACTTTCTGACAGTAAGAGCTGTTCAACAGTGGAACTGTCTCTCTTGGGAGGTGGTGGATTCTCCTTCCTTCATTTTATTCTAATTGGTTTTTTTGCCAGGGTTGGTGGTGGATCCACCTGCCATTTCCAGTAACTGGCTAAGAGAGTGTTATGAATGAATTAGTGTTTCTCAAACTTGGTTCCCCCCAGCTGTTGTTGGGCTACAACTCCCATCATCCCTAGCTAGCAGGACCAGTGGTCAGGGATGATGGGAGCTGTAGCCGAACAACAGCTGGGGAACCAAGTTAGAGAAATGATGAATTAAGTGTTTGACCGTTCTTGGAAACCAGACTGATTTCATCTATTTTGCTGGTTCATTTCACGTGGAATGGTGATCTGAGGAATCCGTTGGTTTTCATGGTTGTAGGAGAAAGACAACTCTGCAGGATGTGCTTCAAGTAAGCGAGGATTTTCCAGTTATGTTGAAACCCCCAACACATTGCTATTCAAACTGTGTTTGTGAATCCTGGGGTTACACAGCTCTCTGAAACCATGGTAGTAGTGAAGAAGTTTCCTTTTGCTATCATCTTCCTGGATGTACACTCTTATCTCTTGTGAAGGTGACTGCCCAGTTTGTTTGGGCCTAGTCATTGTGTGTGAACCAGGGTTCACTGTAAGACTCTTGCCAGAATCCTCCGCAGTGTTTGGGTGCCACAGTAAACCATGGGTTGTTGTGACACGAATGAGCCTCTCTGAGCTTTTTGTTCTCCTCCTTGACCGCAGGCTCAAGGAAGAATGTACAAGCTTTCAGTTCCGTTTTTAATTAACCCTGTAGTTCATCATGTTGTCCATACTTGGTTTCTTTGATCGAAGCCAGCTTCAAACGAAGATAACCTGTTGGAGCAAGCCATAGTTACAGTTAGCCACAGTTCGAAGTTTGGATGCAGTACTAAAGTGTGGTTAGTTGAAATTGGAAGCAAAAATTCATGGGCATGTTAGGGGAGTGACCGGGGAAGAGTGCAGAGATGTGAGACTTGCCTAGATTCACTTCAGTTACAACATAGCTCACCGCAATGCCAGAATTCAGGCAGTTCGAGGCTTGAACCTCCTTCAACCCATCTGATCCCTAGATTTGATTCCTAGGTGTCCCTTGTGAGGGGTGCAGGCCACACTCCTTGCAGGATTCAATATACTTCTGAAGCCTAAAGGTTGGGAGAAGGAGCTTCTCTTAGTTTTAGCCACTTTAGCGCCAAGAGAATATATTGTGTGTGAGAGACACAGGGATACCGCTGGCAAATGGCATCCCTGGGTTTGAGATATCTTCCTATGCTGCCCCACTGTTGTGCCATCATCCATGCTGCAAGTTTCATTTTCTTCACACAATTTCTGGTCTTAAACAGAGATAACCAAGCTTTTAATTTCACTGTGGGCGTTTGATTCAGCTTCCCAGTGCAGTGCCAGGCCATGATGTTTGTGTTAACGTCAACATTGCTTTGTGAATGAGCCAGTGTGCTTATTTTACATACTATATTTATTTACATCCTGCATTTTTCCCAGACAGCGACTCAAGCAGCCTAAAATGTAGAAAAAGCAGTCATTAAGAAGCAATTAAACAGTAATAGAATTAAAAGATATATATAAAACATACAGATAATTACAATAAAATTTGCATCACCAGCGCTTTGCATGCATTTAAGCTCTTTACATTCATTTAAGATTTAATGTAATTAGCACAATCTATACTTTTTATGCATCATTTCCTTCTGACCTCACGGCTTACAATTTCCTGCCCAGCAATTGCCATACAATTTCCATACAAACTTCTGCTTGTATGCCTGCATACCTGTTTGTATACCTGCATAACTGTGCGCACACACATCATTCAATAATCTTTCCTGCATTTGACTCTAGCCCATGGAAGCTGGTGCCATTATAGGTGCTTTAAGTTTTCAGGGTTGCAGCTAGTAGCTTGAAGCATTATTGCTGCAATACTGTGTTTGAAGCTTAACATCTGTCTCACATGATTAAATCTCTCTATACACTTTATTTACTGGCCCAGTTTGCACATAGCAGTAAAACAAAGTTAATAGTTTCCTGCAAGCATGCCAGTCTTGGTCCCACTGTTCCTCCCTGCTTGTACACTGAACAAGCCAGCCACTATCCCCTAGGTTGGTGTTACTGGGGTGGGGAGCTTTGCCTCAAGACCCTCCCCCAGCCCCACCCCAGGACCCTCATTTACATCACCATTCCCCTACAAGTGATGCAAACCTGCGTGGAGAAGGAGGGAGCCTCAACCTGGGGACACTATTTTGGTGGCACCCCCTTGTCTCACGTAGCATGCCCTTTCAAGCCTAAGATTTGCTGACACAGGTGAATGCCATTCTGAGGCGGGGAAGCCCGTGCTCTTGGCTTTGATCCAAAAGGGCGTGCTATTTTAATCAGATGGTGTGAAATAGCTTGTGCTCGCCTTCTCCCTTTGAATAAGCTGGCTTGCCTACCCATAACGCTTTGGGCGGCATGCTTTTGTTTTTAAACAAGGTGACTAGGAAACAACACTGTTCAGCAGAGACTGGAAATGTCAGATGAACTGGGTGTGGAACGGAGACAGCCTGTTTGTCAGCTCTTTTTGAGGGCTTCCACGTGACCCCTGGGTTTGCTGTGGGCTCTCCCTGTTCCTTGGCTGCGTAATGCGCCTAGAAGCTGTATGAAGGAAGGGGTGGGGTAGGAGGGTGGGGAGCAGATAAACAAAGCTATTTATGTCCTCTGCAGTGAGAATAATTAAATTAGGGTTGCCAGTAGGAGCTGAATACATATCACACAACCCAGAATGTGACATCCAAGATCTATTTCAGATGTGTGTGGACAGGAATAAATTTCCTTGCACTTTAAGTCACTGGCCCAGTAAATCAGTTCTGACCACTTTGCTCCTTCCTGCTAGTATTAGCCTGTTATCCAAACTGTTTAGAGCCAGTAAGCCATGAGCAGTCAATTAAGAACAAACCATGGTTTGTTGGGAGCCAAACCAAACCATGATCCTAGGTTCAAGTGGATTGGGATTCGTTTCTTGTGTGTGCTAGTAAAGAGGAGCAAAGTGGACAGCGAACTCAATATCAGCCGTTACCTATGTGCTAGTGTTAATTTCATTTATAAATGCTTTTTAAATGAGAACTCCCAAAATGAATTACAATATAATAAAGCCATTACATATATCATCAGTTAATGAATTACAATATAATAAAACCGTTACATATATCATCAGTTAATATCAACATTTAACATCAGTTAAAACATTTGCACATATAAAAGCCAATACTGAACCATTTATACAATGCCCTATTGCAAAACATCAGGATGGTGTATAGCAGGGGTCAGCAAACTTTTTCAGCAGGGGCCCGTTCCACTGTCCCTTAGACCTTGTGGGGGGCCGGACTGTATTTTGGGAAAAAAATATGAACGAATTCCTATGCCCCACAAATAACCCAGAGATGCATTTTAAATAAAAGGACACATTCTACTCATGTAAAAACTGCTGATTCCCGGACCGTCTGCAGGCCAGATTTAGAAGTCGATTGGGCCAGATCCGGCCCCCAGGCCTTAGTTTCCCTACCCATGGTGTACTGTATAGCAACATTAAAAAAAAATGCAGTACAGAACTATCTTTAAAAGGACTGGCCTCTCAAGAAAATTTTAAATATCTGCATAGGCCTGATGTCTGGTTTAGAAAGATGTCTGGAAGTCAAAAGCGATGAAGCTTGCCAAATCTTTGCTATAGAGGAGGTGCAGCACCTTTTAGGGCTGGGAACATTAAATGCATGATGTCTGGTTTACTTATTTCATAAAATTTATATACAAACAAGCTTCAAAGCAGTTTACGAAAAGAATAAAGCGATAAAATTATTTGTAACAACTGTTTAAAACGTTCAAAAAACTAAAAATGGCAATGAAATGACGACACATCAGGATTCTAGATATCTGGGTATCTAAACAAAAATGTTTTTAGCAGGCGCTGAAAATGGTACAGTGGAGCTGCATTCCTGATAGCTATAGGCGAGGCGGACTTCCATAACTCAGGGAACAACGGTATTCTGGTCTCAAGTTGCACAAGGCTTTCTACACCAACACAGTTTAAAACAGCAGTAGCGCACACAGAGTCCGTTCAAATCCTATGCATGTTCCAACTGGGGAAAGGACCTAGATTTTGGCAGGTGCCAAAAAATGTTTACCGTCGTGTGCGAACGTCGTGTGTGAACCTGCTTGGGCTCAGGTTCAGGCATTGGTTTCACTGCATGGATAAAAAGTCCAAGTCTTCCTGTTTGGAATCCCAAGGGCTCGTATTCATCCACATTGGAAACTGTTAGCCGGACAGGATGCACAACATGTCTTGTGTTCTCTTGGGAAGGCAAAACTGCATTTGTGCCTTTCCATTGTGAGCCATTGTGGCTAGTTTTTGCAGAGAAGATAAATCCGTGAAGCTACCATCTTACACCAGTGCAGACTATTCGTCCCTCTAGCCAGCCTTCCAAATGTTGGTGAATTCCCCATCAGCCCCAGCCAGCCAGCATGGGTGATGCTCAGAGATGATGGGAGTTGTAGTCCAACAACCCATGGTGCGCCCCACATGTTCCTCACCCCTGTCTTGCACCAGCCCTATAAGGCAGGCCAGGTATCCCTAAACTATTTATTGGTGGCTTGCATACAGCTACCAAAGAACTTGAGCAGGGGTAGAAATTTAAACTGAAGGCTTCCTGGTTTTGCATCTCGTGATCTTAATATATTTATGGTCTTGGAGAGGACAGGAGAGGGTGAGATTATTACCGGCTTTCAACTATTTTCACTGAAAGGAGCATCCTCATTCGGAGGCGGTGTGCTTCTGCTGGGATTCCATGCCCTGTTTCTGAAAGCAAGTAAGGCATCATCAACAAAAGGACCAGGCAGCTAGCGATGCAAAAGACCGTTTTTGTCTGCCACTCACAGTAAACCAGGGACTGGTGGCCTTTCATACATGGTTGGACTTCTACAAGCCCCAGCCAGTGTTGGTCAGTGGTCAAGGATGATGGGAGCTGGGCTCTAGCAGCCTATGGAGGTTACTAGTTTTCCAATCCTGCAGTATTTGAGCTAGGTGGAGAAATAGCCTGAGTTGTGAAAAATGCAGCTTCTGTGTTCCTGCAATGTTGGGACTTTGGGATTTTTTTACCTGATTTGGGAGACAGGTCTTAATCCCTCTGCCTTACCACCTGGCGTGTTTTGATGCAGCTGTCCTTAAGGAGGACCACGCAGCATTCAAAGTGCCCAGCACTTCCTGTCCTGACATTCCATGTGCCTGTAGCACTGCTTCTCACGTGAACATCCCAGCCAGCCAAGCTGGAAAATTCCTGTTTGTTGACCCACCCGGATCAGACGTTACTTGCAGCTGCTGTTGCTTTATGATTTCTAGGAAGTGCCTGTAAGAGAGGGCTGTGGATTTCGTAGAAAACCTAGATCATTTTTCAGAAGGTGCCCCTGCACAACAGCTCCTGTTTTGCACTGGGCAAGAGAGCTCTAAGGAATGTCCTGTAGTTTTCCATACTAGCCCTTTTCTTTCTTTCTTTCTTTCTTTCTTTCTTTCTTTCTTTCTTTCTTTCTTTCTTTCTTTCTCTCTCTCTCTCTCTCTCTTTCCTCCCTCCCTCCCTCCCTCCCTCTCGCATGTGTGCCCCCACCTTCGGTTTTACTGTTTTCCCCAGCATTGGAATTCAGCAGAAAGTTGATAGAGAGAGCAGTTTGGAAATGCTTCCCAAATATTAGCCCCTGGCACACAGTTGTTTACTTAGAAATTTCTGAGTAGGCATCGATGTGGGGAGAGAGGGCAAGCCTGCAAGGGACTGAGCCGTGCCAGGCTAAGTGGAGTAGTGTTAGTTTTAAAGATCTGGGATGTTTGCCGTGAATATGCCATTACCTGACCTGACCTCTCCAAGCAAACCTGGCAGGCGGCAGGCACCAAGTTGTGTACACAGCAAATGCCAAGACGGCCTGGTTTCGCCTGTGCAAGAATTTTAAAACTGCTCTGCCAGGTTTTTCCTTTCTCTGTCCCCTCCCTTCTCTCTTCTGAATGTGTCTCTGCCTGGTATATATTACCAGGATTGGCGCGGGGGGGGGGTGATCATTTTTGCTTTTTTTCAAATTGCTGCTTCAAGTGTCGTGAAAAAGAAAATGGGGGACACTTTGTGTTGAAATTGAACATGTTGGAAAGAAGGTTAGATGAAAACCTTCTCCTTGCAAAGCTAGTTTTTTGTGTGTGCAGGGACTAGTTCTGTTCACTGCTGGGAAGCTTAAGGTAGTTTGGTACCTGAATTGGAAAAGTACCTGTGGTTTCCAGTAGGGAAGGGTTAGCCAACGTGGTGCCTCCAGTTGATGTTGGATTCCATCTCCCATCTCCCCCAGCCAGCATAGCTAATGGAGTAAAAATGGCATTTCCCCTCAAGTTAGGTGACGGAGTAGCTTCTCTTCCATTTAGTTTCTCTATGGACAGCACTGAGCGAGATCCAGGCAACAAGGTTGTTGGATCCATCCCCACAGCAGGATAGAATATCAGGTTTTCTATGCCTTATAGATAGAGCCCAAGTGCTTTTCCTTGAGATTATTAAGCAGTTGTAAAAGCTAATGCTTCCATTAAGCTTTTGGCTAAACTGGTTTCTCCTCACCCCATCTGGTTGCCTTTGATTTTCCCGTTTTTAATTAGCATCTGTCATTTGTGTGTTGTTTTATGACCATTCATTGTACTGCGTTTGATCTTGTAAAATACTTTGAATCTCTAGTAAGAGTAGTATAAAAGTAGCTTTTTAAAAAAAATAAAAACAACAACAGCAGCAACAACCTGTGTGGTACAATATAAGATTTCTTTCTTTTTTCTTTTTAAGCATTCCAAGGGAGACATCAGCCCACTTGAGGCAGCTGCTGCTAGGACTCTTGCAACGGAACCACAAGGACCGCATGGACTTTGGTAAGGAATTTTGCTTTCTGAGACACTTTGTAATCAAGTCAGACCAGAACCACACCAAAGAAAGAGATGCCCTTTAATAAAATTGACTCTGCCCTTACACTTCAGACACACCGACTTTCACACTTTGGCTGTGCCCCCAGAGGGTTGACAATAGCTCAGTGCACCCCTTTGCTTGAAGGAGGTTTGTGGACATTGTTTTAAGGTATCAGCATCTCGCATGGCAAAGTTTTGCTGATTGTTCTCTTCATTCAAGTTTGATTCAAGCCCCTCCCCTCCCCCAGCACCACTGATCCTTTGCAGACATCATGCTGTCAACCCCGGCTTAATCCTAATTGGTTTGCCGTCTGTTATTCTTTCAGATTATGTTTGTCAATGAAACTGGGCTTTAGAGAACACCCCCAAGCAGCTGGCCAAATCAAGGCCAGGGATTAACTGATCCCAGTTTTAATTGTACATTTATAGATGAAGCATGGCCGGATTTAGCAAAACCATTGTGATTTATTTATTTTTGAGGGGGTGGGGTGGATATGGTCATTGTACTTTAAACTAATAGGGTGACCTAATAATGCCATTTTGTTGGGCAGTGGTAAGCTTCTGTCAACTAGCTGTCTGTGGGTTTTCCCAGGTGGCTGCAGCAAGACACTCTGTGGTCTTGGAGGAGTAAAGACATGCCACTCCTGAATGTTGGTGCTGTCTTGCATTTAAGCCTTCCTTCGCCAACCTTGGGTCCACAGCTGAAGTTGGACTACAGCACCCACCATCCCTCACTATGGGCCATGCTTGCTGTGGCTGATGACAGCTGTAGTCCAATCACATCCAGGGACCCAAGGCTGGGGAAGGCTGAATTAAGGTCTAGCCTGGTAGCCACAGGCAAGAAGGAACTGCATGCAGGCTAGAGGAGAAATACTGTGTTCAGTCCTCCCCAGATCAAGGTTGGAACCACAGTGAAGGGCAACAGGTTAAAAATCTCCTGTTCTCAGGGCCTCTGTACCTCACCTGATAGCTTGGCTCTTGAAGAAGATTGCCAGGACTGTTTTAAATGCTCTCAAGCTAGACTTGGCACATTACCCAAGAGCTTTTTGAGGGCTCAGAAGCAGGATACAAATCCTGCTTAAACAAGTAAGATCGTTAAACATTGTTTGGTTTTGGGGTTTTTTTTGCATGATTGAACTCGAACTTTGCAAAACATCGATATTGACATTTTCTTCCTCTTTCTTTCTTCAGATGAATTTTTCCATCACCCTTTCTTGGATGCAAGTGCCTCTATGAAAAAATGTAAGTTTGTTTCGTTATCCCAGTCTCTTTTTTTGCAATACATACACGGACCTGCGCTGTAGATTTCAGCTTGCACTGTGCAAGCTTAGAAGCACGTTATTGGTGGTTCTCTCTTAGGCTCATTCGGGTTTGAGAAGAGGCGGCAGAACTTCCACAGCCCGACCATTCCATTCTGTAGATGACTTGGCTTTCTCTGTGCTAGAAGGCCGCCTCTCTTGAGACGCAAATTGCACCTCCCAAGTTTTTAGACCTTTATTAGTAACTTGACTAGGTGCTGACAAAATCTCAGCCTTCTAAAAACTGTGGGAGTAGCTTAGTTTTTTGGAGGGTGGGGTTTTTGTTACACTTCAAGACCCTCTTTTGAGGGAGAAAATTACATGTAAGTATCCTTTCAACTGTGATAGTCAGCGAGTCGGTGAGACTAAAGCATCTTTATGAATTGGCACATATCATCTATTGCAGTGCTTCAGAAACTGGCAGTTTTAATCATGCAGCTGAAATATGTAAATCCAATTCCCTTTGGCATTTTTAAAAGATATGTAATCACTGCATAGGAACAATGTTTTGGCATTGAGTTTGTCACATTAATTCTGTCTGGGGTTTTTTTACGATGATAAAGGGAGTCATGTCATCATGACTTTGTCTGGCCGCTTTAGATTTAATCTTTATAATGGTGGTTTCTGCTTTTAGTTGAGCTCATTTTTGTGCCTGAAGTAATGGGCTGTAGCATACACTGAAACAGGACAGCAATCCATTGACTTATGAGGTCTAAGGGATGGAGAATTTTGCAACCGTGGGTGGAAAGTGGAACAGTTTCAGAACTGAAAGTAAATAGAGGCTTTCTTACATGTTGAGGATACATCTAAATGACACCTGAGAAGTTTCTTCTTAGGAGAGAGATGAAAAATTAAGAATTTCCCAAAGAACACATGCTATGATTTTTGCGGTAGAATAGATGCTTTGTATGCAAAAGGTCAAGGTTGAGTTTCCCACATATTATCACTGAAAGAATCTTAGGGCACGAATCTGGGAGTCCTTGGAAAGCCACTACCACTTTGAGAAGAAGCAGTATTTAGCTAGCCCCAACCAGATGCCCTCCAGTTGTCTCAGAACTATAACTGTTGGCAATCGTGGGGCTAGACGGGGCTCATGGGAGCTATATTCCAAAGCATGTGGAGGGTACCAGGTTGGGGAAGAGGGGCTTGATGAACCAGTAATCTGACTCTGTGTATAAAGTGGCTTTGTACAGTGAATTTCAGAACTTAAATCAGGCATGGGGTATGCTATAGCATAATCCATCTGCAACAGGATTAGTTCAAGGGTGGAGCTAGACATTATCTCGGCAAAAATGTGGGTTCTGACATAATAGGAATGTGTGGGGTGAGAACCACGTGCAAGACTGGGTCAATGGGGGCTGGGGGCTTTCACTTTTCCAATTCTCACCTGACAAAGTGCCCCTTCACTGGAGCGGGTTTACCAAATAGTGTTTTTGGAACTACGTAGTGATAGTTGTAGCCTGTGTGTGTGTGTATGTGTGTGTGTGAGAGAGAGAGAAAGAGAGAGAGAGAGAGCGAGTGCAATTATCATGGATCAATTCTCTTATCAAGTCAGCCAGTCAGCAAACGATGGGAGACACTGGGGACTTCTACATTCTGCTTTAAACCTGTCGCAAGCCTGCCACAAGGTGTCCTAACATTGGACGCCTGTAGGGAAACCTAAGCCTTGGGTCACCATTGCTTCGAAGCAGGAGAGTTATGATTTCATTCCCTGATCGTAATTTTAAATAATACAATCCCCCTCCCTTAACTATACTTAGGTGTCACTCCCACGGGCAGAAAAATATTCTCCTGGTTTAGGGGCGCTTCCAAGCCCTCCCGGTCCTTACCTACAACCGCAGTGTCACCCTGGGGGGAAGGCCACCCTCGAAACCGGAAAGCGTTTTCCCGACTCAAGGGCACTTACAGACCTGCAGACTTCCCTGCTCCCACCACGGTGCCCCAGTGGAGAAACATTTCTACAAAATCTGAGCCCCTTGCCAACCAGGAAGGATCTTCTGCGCCCCAGGCAGCCTGGCAGCCACCGCGAACAGTACCGCCATTGGCTCCGGCATTATGGAAGCCGAGCTGCAGCCCGCGGGGATCCCCGCAGAAGCAAGAAAGGATTTTCTTGACTTGGCCTCCGTTTCCTTCACTGCCAGCCTCCTCACAACCGCTGCGTGGGGTGACCCCGCCAAAACGGCCAAGCCAAGAGAGGCAGAGAAGGGCTCCCATCTTCCGGCCACTGTCTCCTGCATCGTCCAGCCCACTGCCTTGGGACACTGGTCCCATGAGACGCCCATGCCAACAGCCGTTTGCACGCCCCAGGTCACGGCACAGCTACATCTGGGTGTGAATCGGGAAGAAAGCTCATCAGGTCACAGCCTTCAGCCAGAAAAGAAAACTATGCTGCACAACCAAACTGAGAAGAGAAGCTCGAGTTTTTCATCTTTTCGTGCTTGGTATACGAGAGGGCTTTTGTCCGGAGGCTTGTAATCATGTACTACAGTCCTAATACTTGCCTGTAGGGGCCTCAGGCCCAGTTCATAAAGAATAGTAATATGGTAGTCAATTGAATACCAGAAGGCAGCTGATCATGTGACTCCAGCAGTGTTCAGTTGTGTCCAAGTTATTCATTCTTAGGGTAGACATGACTAACTTAGGTCCATTAATTTCAGTGGGTCCACTCTAAAAGCTAGTTGGATGTAACCCACGTTCCTCCATTCCCTCATCATCACACCTGGACAGGCCCTCCAAAGATTTGTGGTGTTAGGTTTGAAAGGCTCCAGATCCATGTGGCGAGTGGCTCTTGTGTGGTGAGTGGCTGCCAGGTTGCTGCTTGTGTGTGTGCATTAATCAGGACTCTCGAGAGAAGAACCAGAAAGCTGAAGGTGCCTAGAGATCTCAGTGTTTAGGGGAACCATTTTGAGGAAAGAGGTGGCTTCTTCATCCTCTGATTTCTTGTTACCTGTGATGTGATGGATAAATGACAGGAGCAGCTAGCTTGTGCCTCTTTTAAGAGTCTTATTCATACGATTCCCTGAGCACTTGCTTTATCTATGGCTATTTGCCTGGTCTCCTGGTGGTGTTATTGGAAGACACCATCACTCAGTTAGTGCACAGTGCAGACAGCCCTCTAGTCAGAAGGGTGTCAGGACAGGAAAATATCTCTGTGAGACCTTGGAGAGATATTTGTCAGGATAGATGCAATGGAGCTGGGTGAAACCAATGAGCTTGGCAACAGAGAATGTATTGCGTTGACCATGGTACCTTCCACCAAGATATGGTCAGTAGTTTCTGCCTCATACAATTCTCTCTTTCCTTGATTTTTTTTTAAATCTTCCTTGGCCTACCCAATAATGAAACTGGGCATGGTGCAAGTTCTTTATCTTTTCTCAGCACCACTGAGTCCTTTTGGATGCCTTCATTCTGTTAACTGGAAACTTGTTTTCTATATGTTCGTTCCAGTTTTATTTATTTATAGCCTATTTATATGCTTTTTTCCTATTTTTTCTATTTATATATATCTGTAAAGTGAGACATCTGTATTTCTGAATTATGAAAAATAAATATTTTTCTAAAAACGAAACTGTATAACTTGGGCAGAAGTGTTTGTGTTTTGCCATAAAAGTTGCTTAGTGGATTTCCTCCCCCCCCCCCCATTTAATGATAACTAATGATATTGCATGGCAACAATAACCTGTGTGGGGTCATATTAGTGGTACCGGCAGTGGTAAGGCTAGAGCTGCAGCTCAGTTAAAGAAGTGCCAGTTGCTAAATCATGAAAGTTTTACAGTGGTGCCTCGCAAGACGAAATTAATCCGTTCCGCGAGTCTCTTCATCTTGCGGTTTTTTCGTCTTGTGAAGCACGGCTATTAGTGGCTTAGCGGCTATTAACGGCTTAGCGGCTTTAAGAAAAAGGAAACAAACTCGCAAGAACTCACAGGGAAATTCGTCTTGCAGAACGACTCAAAAAACGAAAAACCCTTTCGTCTAGCGAGTTTTTCGTCTTGCGAGGCATTCGTCTTGCGGGGCACCACTGTAATTCAGTTTTATCAGTTAATCTATTGGTCAAAAACAGTTTCTAAAGCTCTTGGCATGTTTCCTTTGTGTTCAGATGTATTGTAGCAGGCATCATCCTACAGCAAGGGTCGGGGATGCTACAGCCCTTTTTATGATGCTGGACTACAACTCCCACCATCCTTGATCATTGACTATGCTGGCTGAGGCTGATGGGAGTTGGAGTCCCACAACCTATGGAGGAACTCAGGTTCCCCGCCATTGTTGCTAGAAGTGTTCCCTACCATGTGTAAATAATGCCTCTTCTGTGATGATGCCTTCTATAAGTAGGGAGACTGCCTCTTTTAAGATAGTTCTTTCCACTTGCAGTTGTTTTTAAATAAACTCCTTTATATTAAAAAAAACAACCTGCACTGCTGATATAATATTTAGCACTGTGTTAGTGGATTTAAAAGTTCTTAAATCAAATACAGTGGTACCTCGGGTTACATACGCTTCAGGTTACAGATGCTTCAGATTACAGACACTTCAGGTTATAGACTCTGCTAACCCAGAAATAGTACCTCGGGTTAAGAACTTTGCTTCAGGATGAGAACAGAAATCGTGCTCTGGCTGTGCGGCGGCAGTGGGAGGCCCCATTAGCTAAAGTGGGGCTTCAGGTTAAGAACAGTTTCAGGTTAAGAATGGACCTTGGAACTGATTAGAACCCCTTTAAAATACCTCTGTGTGTGTGTGTCCCCCACAAATCCCACCCCATTATCACTTTATAAATTCACCAATGTAATTGTTGCTTAATGCAGAGCCCTTCACTAGGCAAGAACCACCGCAGCTCAACAATTCAGCTGTGGTGTTGTTCATCTAAGGAAGATTTCTCCCCCAAGTGAGCTGTGCGGCATTTTTAGAACAGACTGTGGTGGAGAGAGCTGGGACCTAATCTTTCTCAATTAAGCAAGGACTTGGAGACTCAGCAGGCCTCCTTTTGCGAGGAGAGGAATTATATAGGTAATCTGAAGATTTGTGGGTGGAGACACCTAATTCAAGTTTAATATCACTGTCTCTCCAGGCTCAAGGTGAAATAATCAGGTTGGTGGAGCTAGTTTCTTTTAAAGGATGCCAGATCTTCACCTAGAGACCTTTTAAAGCGCTTTAAGGAATCAAGGCAGGAGACGCCAGCTATCCCCTCTGTCTCATTGCTCCACCGATCCCTTTGCCACTCTCTTCCCACACCTGCTTGGGGGCAAAAATAATAATCTTGTTCATCTCCTGTTCCAGCCTCTCTCCACATGCTACTTCCTTTGATTCACTAGACTCATTCCTGTTCTGCCCAGACTCTTGCTTTTGCTGAGTCCTACTTTTTGCCTCTTGCTTGGCACTAAACGCCCTGGACTACTTTCCTCAGCCTGGCAGAGGATTTTCCTTTGCCATCATCTGCAGTGGTGCAGAGTCATATGCAACATGAATCCTCCAGTCCTAGGGAACCCTGGCAGGGGTCGAGTGTGTGTGAGCTCCTGCAGTTGTGCTTGTGAATGGCCCCTGCCCGGAGGAATATGTAACCCTGCTCATTTATACAAAAGCAGTTCCCTGGATGGTGCCCCATCTATATCCATATATACCTGCAGTGTAAATAGTTTGGCAGTTGTAATGAGCCATTTGTAAATGCTGTGTGGATTTGTGAGTCCTGGCTGAGATTCCAGCAAGTCTATGCTGAATTCCCCTTAAGATTTGGGTGGGAATAGCAAGATCATTTTTGTATAGACGTGGTTCGTCATGCACTGTCAGTGCTGCAGTTTGTGTAGCGGAGTGCTTGGGCCTCCATTGCTCCATCATGCACACACAATGAGGCAAGCGCTCCGTATGCAATCATGCAAGTATGAAATCTTCAAACACTTGGTTCCCTGCCACCACACATGGGTGTCACTGAAAGCAGAAGTTCTTGCCACCACATAGGAAGGAACTTACCCTATTAACTATTTTGGCCATCTCGTCTTAAGACTGTCTGTTTGGTCCAGCAGTGACTTTGTAGAACCTCCAGAGGAGGCTGTTCTCATCACCCAGTACCTCATATTGTTTTAACTAGCGATTTCGGGGACTGGAGCTCAGGTGTTTGGCATGCAAAGCATGAGCTCTACCTCTAAGCTCTGGCCCCCTCCCCTGTTCTCTTCTTTTAATTTTAAAAAAATAATTTTCCATTTCAAATTTTCACATTCAAGCCAAAAGATAACCATACGATAGTCATTGACTTCCCTTCCCCGCCCCCCTTCCATGGTTCATTTTAGTTACCCATTGCTACTGCATATCCTGATTAATCCCTCTTTCCCTTTCTGAGCATATATCATCCAGGCTTGCATAGACAAAAATCCTGCTTTGTACAAATAATTCCCTCCCTCTTTTTATTATTGGGTTATCCCATTGGTTTCCTCACACCAATCCAACCAGTGCCTTACCTCAGAATGGTGCTTGTCTGCCAAAATATGCTAAGTGCAGGCAGTCAAAACATGGTTTCACAGGGCAAGTGAACACCTGGCTGTTAAAACATCAGCAATATGATGCCATTTTATGGTAGTCCCCAGGGATGTTTTCATTAATTAAATATGTTTTGACTTTACTGAGAACATTTTTCTTCTGTGTGCAACCACCATCGTCTTAGCCTTCTAGTTATCAGCTGGAGAAAAGTACATCATCTCATTCTTTTGGAGTAATAGAAGCTATAGCTGGACAGTAATTTTCCTGTTGCTGTTGTACAGAGAGAGAGAAAACAGCTGCAGCTGGGGTGTGTTAATTAATTACAGCTTTACACCCTTCAAAATTAATCATAGCCTTCCACCCTTCAAAACAAATAGCAATGCTTTAAAACGTTTTCCACACGTGATGTGAAAATTCAGAATCAATCAATTTCACTGTGCTCCAGGGCTCAGTTTTCTTTATATTTTCTCTGGCGCTTTATTTATTTAATTGAAAGTATTCCAGTTTTCTGCATCAATGTGAGCTACTCAAGGCAGCTCAGAAATGATTTAAAAAACAAACAAACAAACCATCATTGAATGCCTACAAAACACAACCTAAAACACAGAAAGAGACCGGCAGATAATAAATTCTTCAAATTGTGTGAAGAACCAGACACAGTGCTTGAGATACCTCTGAAATGTCTGATAGTGGTAGGAAGCCTGCCTGAACAATATCTGTCTATCTTTTCCCCACCCTCTCTTTTGCTTGGAATGTCATTGGAGGAAGCCATACTGATAGCTCTAGGGCAGGGATGGAGAACTTCACCACAGTTCTCCATGCGCTGGTAACTTCATGGGTGGATACCTGCCATGCTCTCCATGTGGAGCTACCTTGGGGCTGACCCAGAGGGAGCAGGTGGGGGAGGACACCATAGCCAGGCTGCTTGTGAAGGCAAGCTGCCACCAGGATGCAGCACCTCAAAGACTGCAGGATTTGCACTGTCTGCCCGTCCTCTGCTGGGCCAAGTTCAAGCATTTTGGTACTAAGACTCTAAACAGCTCAGGATTATATTTCTTAAGAGACCACCTTATCCATCACTGCAGTTTATGGAAGAGCTTCTCCTCCAACTTCCAAAAAAATTGGAAGCTCGCTCTGCAGTAACTTGGAGAAGTGCTTTTAGTGTTGCTGCCCTTGTTCTGTGGAACAGCATTCCTGCTGAGATACAACAGATGCCCATTATCTGCCCTTTCTGGAAGCTACCAAAGGCATATTTTGTTCCAACAGCTTTCCCAACAGCATGACTAGGTTTCTGCCATGGGTATATTTGGTGTTGTTCAGAAATTTATCTGCTGCTGTTTATTTATTTTTTGGTGGTGTTTAACTGTTTTCAGCTGGTTCTGCTGCATTTGGTACATTGGCTTGAGGCATGTGTGTAAGGTGATCGATAAATTAGAATAAGTTGTGACCCTCTAGATATTGCTGGACTCCAGCTCCCAGTGGTTGGGAGCAATGGGGGTTTGAGTCCCAACAGGATCTGGAGGACTCCAGATTATCTGGGTAAGGAATTCCAAAGGGTATTTAGGGAAGGCTCTGTCAAGTGTACTTGACCACTGCCTGCATTATTTCGGACCCTGCGCTTTGGCTCGGAGGACGTTCGGAGCAGCTTCCAATTAAAAACCGCCAACCACACCCTAAAAAATACTTAAAGCAACAACACCACAAGAATCTGCGCATGAGGACGGAGAAAGGACTCCTGTTTTTTTAAGAAATATATTAGACCTGAGTCATGCCACTGTTGTGGTGCTGCAACAAAAAAAGTTGTTTGCCGTTCTAGAAGGCAGACAGCAGGTTGGGCCTATCTTGTGCCCTCCAAACGTTGTTGGCCTGCACTCCCCCCCCCTCAACCATTGGCCATGCTAGCTGGGGCTGATGGGAGCTGGGAGTCCTCCGTCTGCATTGACTACCCCGACAGAGACCAAATAATAATAATAATAATAATAATAATAATAATAATAATAATTTGTACCCCGCCCATCTGGCTGGGTTTCCCCAGCCACTCTGGGCGGCTTCCAACAAAGATGAAAGATACACTAAAATGTCACATATTAAAAACTTCCCTGAACAGGGCTGCCTTCAGATGTCTTCTGAATGTTAGGTAGATGTTTATCGCTTTGACATCTGATGGGAGGGCGTTCCACAGGGCAGGTGCCACTACTGAGAAGGCCCTCTGCCTTGTTCCCTGTAACTTGGCCTCTCGCAGTGAGGGAACCGCCAGAAGGCCCTCGGAGCTGGACCTCAGTGTCCGGGCAGAACGATGGGGGAGGAGACGCTCCTTCAGGTATACTGGACCGAGGCAGTTTAGGGCTTTAAAGGTCAGCACCAACACTTTGAATTGTGCTCGGAAACGTACCGGGAGCCAATGTAGATCTTTCAAGACCGGTGTTATATGGTCTCGGCATTTAGAAGCCAGAAAATGGCGCCTCAGACTTCAGAATTTGCTGCGGGGTGAAATAAATGACAGCTCCACAGACGGTGGGCAAGCGAAAGAGCACCTGCCACATTCAGTTGTACTGAATGCCAACTTGTTTCTCCCTCCCCCCTTCCCTGCCTCAGTTCAGTGACGTCGCCTGGCACCTGAGGTAAATCCGTTAGCGTGAGGAAGCCAAGAAAGCTGTTCTAATCCCGCTGTTGACAACCTAGAAAGCATGACCTTTCTTTCTTCTCTCCCCTCCCCCTGCCCTCTTTCTTCAGCTGCTTCTGTGCCAATGCCTTCTTATCCGAGCTCTGGGTCTGGGAGTTCGTCCAGCAGCTCTTCCACGTCCCATCTCGCATCTCCTCCCGTAAGTACAATGCACGCCTCTTGAGCGCTGTTGGTTTTCCTCCTCCCTCTTGTTTGCCACTGGGTCGTTCTGGTGGCTGCTGACGACGTCCTTCTCCGGGTGCCCACCACGCCGCCAGTCGACCGTGCAGGGTGGCATTTTCAAGGGAGAGAACCATCTTAAGCGGTGTGTGGCACAGTCAGCCCACGTCAGAAGCACTCAGATCGAAGGCTCGTCTAGTCTAGCATCCTGCTTCCTCACAATGACCAGCCCAGATGCCTCTCAAAAGCCCACAAACAGGGCATGGGCACAGCAGCTCTCTGCCCACTTGGCACCCCCAGCAGTCTGTATTCAGATGCAGGCTGCCTCTGGATCCTGGAGGCAGCATATGGGTAGCCTTATCCTCTATGAATGTGTCTAATCCCCTTTTAAAGCCACCTTAGTTCGTGGACTTTATCACATCTTATGGAAGTAGATTCCACAATATAACTGTGCGCTGGGGGGGGGGGAGGAAGAGCCCCTCCTCTCTATCTCTTTGGTCTGCCCTGAATCTTGCTCTATTCAGTTTCATTGGGTGAACCTGGGTTCTGGAGAGAGGAAAAACTAATTCGCTTAATCCATTTTCTCTGTATTGTGCATCAATTTCTAAGCCTCTGTCATGTCCTCCCTTGCTCACTTCAAAAACAAACCCAAAAACTCCTCCTAAGGGAGTTATTGCACCTCTTCTGTAGTTTTTCCAGCTCTACAGTATCCTTTGCTTGAGATACAGTGAGCAGAACCATGTGCACTATATTCTAATTGCGGTTGCACCATCGATTTCATGGCACCCTCCGCCCAAAGGGGCTTAGTGTGTAGGGAATAAAGGAACAATGAGCGACCCCAACTCAAAATATGGCTCTCATTTCCACCTGCAAATTTGAAGATTTGTTCCTTCAACCTTCTAAATATCATAAGAAAGCAGAGACTAAAAGCAAATTTGGTGGCAATTTTTGTATTGTCACAACATCGCTGGCCCCATAAACGGGACTTCTGTAAGGTAATAATGGGATAACAGCCACCACATACTGGGGGACTTTCTGTGTCAAAGAACTGTTCCAATTCCCTGCCGACTGCATCACTCGATGGTTCTGGGGCCACTGAAATGGCATAGTTTTGTCTTGGGGCCTTTGGAGAACTGCCTTCCATAGACACCATGTGCTGGCAGAACCTCCTTTTCTGGGAGTGCTTTTTGGTGCGGAAGAGCCTGCAGAAGGAGTTTCTTCCGAGGTTTGCGTTTTCACTCCTGTTTCTCCTTCCCCTTCCCTCGAACAGTCCCTTGGAGAGATGGCACATCTCCCTGAGAAGGTTTTAGCCTCTCCTACCCAGCCCGGCTTCCTTCATGGGTCGAAGGAGTCGGCTGGCGGCAGCAGCAAGAACTCCTCCTGCGACACCGACGACTTCGTCATGGTGCCAGCCCAGTTTGCAAGTAAGCAGTCTGGTTTCTTTTCGAAGCAGAGGCATGGCTGATGGTGTGGCAGAAGAGGTTGTAGGCATGCCTCAAAGGCAGGGGACAGCAGCCATAATCTCACGAGCCCTGCTGGTTGCCAGTTTGCATCTTGGCTGAAATCAATATGCTCACCTTAGTGTTTAAAGCCCTAAGAGACTTGGGACCCAAATATCTGGAAAACCACCTTGCCCACAGACTGTCTCTGCTGTTGAGATCAGCCATGGCAACCTTTTGAGTAGTTCCACTGTTGTCAGAAGTTCAGGGTGGCAGCAGCCCAGGAGAGGGCATTCTCTGTGGCAGCCACAAAGTTGGGGCAGTCCCTCCCTACAGAGGGGCATCTGTGCCGTTTTTCTCATATGAGCCTTTACCCCGGTCTATGTTTTTAGGACCCGTCCTATTCTCGTGGTTGCGATTTGTTCTTAAGCTGTTTTTAATGTTGTCTTTCAAATTGCTGTGACTTGCACTGGGACCTTGGGAGGTGAAAGGCGAGTAATATAGCATTATATTTAAGTATTCCTCTTCCGTGCTACAGCAGCGCATGAGAGACAGGTAGGAGCAGGGACAAGCGCAAGAGCTCTGCCCCTCTCCATGGGTCCTTCCTTCCATTGTTGTGCAGGGAGGGTAACCTGAGCAGGGCAGGCAGCTGCCATCTAACTGCAGAGAGTAAAGGGGGCCAAACTAGCATGGTATGATAGGATGGGAGTGCAACTAGCATGGTTAGCCCCATTCTCCCCCTTTGCAAACAGATTTATTTGGGCAGATTAATGTCCAGATAGCGTTGCATGCTTTGAGCAGGAGAAGGGGAACAGCTTCCCAGTTCACAAAGCTGCTGAGATTTGAAATCGTTTGTTCTTCAGCTTGGGGTTTTCTGTAGCGAGAAGCCTTGGTGGGGAGATAGCTGAGCAGGCAGGCTTGTTGGGAACCAGTGTTTTAGGAGTTTGACCATCCGTGTTTGGGAGCTCCTGCCATCCAATCACATTTCCAGGAACTGGAAAAAGGCACACTGGCAGGACCCCTATTCGTAGGCAGGTGCTGGGGACCCAGCTAGTAGGGAGCACACTTCATGCTTGTCCAGCCCCCCACCCCAGTCCTTTTCCTGGTGGTGGGACTCCATTTAAATTCCTCTCATTGCCCCAGAGTGATACCATATTGGGGGTGTTTGGGGGAATGAAAATGGTGACCCCCATGCCTACACTGATGATTCCCTGTCCCTCCTTGGAGTGCCACTGTTCTCCTCCATTCACTAAGTTCCCAAGAGGGACCAGAGATGCAGGAGGCCTACCAGACAGCACTTTGCCCAGGGTCCCCTGAAACCAACTTTACCGGGGAAAGAGGCACTGCAAGTTGGTGCCTGTTTTTGATGTTTGAACCCTCAGTAATACTTATCCGCTGGGATGAGCCACAGGCACCAGGCAAAGGGTGCTGTGATGTGCATATGTGTGTGTTTCAACCTTGATACATTCTCAAAGGGATGTGACACAAGCACACCATGATGCCACAGAGTGCTGGAAAATCTCCTGTCTTCTGCAAACGGAAATGAAATCACACATGTATTAAAAAAAGAAAGAAAGAAAAAAGCACGTGGATTTGCAAAACTGTAATTGTTTCTTTGAAAAATACCCTACAGGCTCCCAATAGGAAGCTCATTCTCTGAACGCCAATCTTTTATCTAGCCAAAATGAGACCCTCCACAAACAAAAGCGGGGAGGTGGCAGCAGGCTTGGGGAAGTTCAAAATGTCACTGAGGGATTGTACAGCCGTCCGAGGGCTGAATGTTCTCAAAGGCATAAGGAATGGGATCGGCTGTAGTATGCAAGAAAGGGGCTTTTTTGGTGCCTTGAACAGGAGCCCTCTGCCCCTGCTGCAGGTCCAACTTTTCAGATATTACAAGCCTTGAGCCAGTGACACCTTTTGTGTTATTTGAGCAATCACGCCTCTTTGCATATGAGCAAAGTGTCTTCACTCCCATCCTATCATACACATTTGTATAGAAGGTCACACAAGACCTGGTTTTTGCATGGCTAAGGTCTAACCAGCCTCCCACTGGGTGAATAATGGGGTCGCCGCAGGCATGAATGTCCGTACTGAACCTCTACTTGCAGCCTCCAGGTGTTGCCAAAACTACAGGTCCCTTCTTCCCAAACCATTGGCCATGCTGGCTTAGGGCTGATGGGAGTTGGAGTCCAGCTACAACTGGAGAGCCACAGGTCCCCACCCTTTCTCTTTAACCTAATTGTGGAAAAGCTCACCTTAGTGGTGTTGAGAAGAAGCCGTCGTTCCCAAAGAGAGGAAGCAAGAGAGGCCTCCATGGCTTCAGTCTCTCTTCTAAAAAGAATTCTATAAAAGTTCACACAACATTTGAGGGCCTTCAAAGACCTCTCCTTTATGTGCAGTTCTCACATGTCCACAGACCTGGGGGGGGGGGGAATTAATTGTGCATGCGCATGCTCTTTATGTAGTTACTGAAGCATGGGCCTGAAATTAATCTTTTCAGAACTTTTTTAAACTTAGGTGATATCGCTGTGGAGGCTGCAGGAGGAAAAACTATCCAGGACAGCCTGATGTGTAGTGGGTAAGGAACTTTAATGTGTGTTTTCTTCTTTTATTTATACTTTTTATTTAGTTATTTATTTAACTGATTTTACTATCATTTTAACATTTAAAACTTGACTTTTCCTTCCCTCACTTTCTGTGGTTGCTTGAATTTATTTTTAATATCTTCTGCATATCCAAATTAACTTAACTTACTCATTTATTTATCTTCTTTAAATATATACTCTTATGTAAAAGGTAAAGGTACCCCTGCCCGTATGGGCCAGTCTTGACAGACTCTAAGGTTGTGCGCCCATCTTACTTAAGAGGCCGGGGGCCAGCGCTGTCCGGAGACACTTCCAGGTCACGTGGCCAGCGTGACAAGCTGCATCTGGCAAGCCAGTGCAGCACACGGAACGCCGTTTACCTTCCCGCTAGTAAGCGGTCCCTATTTATCTACTTGCACCCGGGGGTGCTTTCGAACTGCTAGGTTGGCAGGCGCTGGGACCGAGCAACGGGAGCTCACCCCGCTGCGGGGATTCGAACCGCCGACCTTTCGATCGGCAAGCCCTAGGCACTGAGGCTTTTACCCACAGCGCCACCCGCGTCCCCTATGCTCTTATGTAGCTGCAGGTTATTACAATAATCCTGCCGGTGTTTTTATCTGTTTACAATTTATCTGTAAATATTCAACAAACCATTTCCATTCTTTTATAAAAAGTTTGTTAACTTGATTTCTTATTCTCCCGGTAAGTTTCGCCATTTCTGCATATTCCATAAGTTTTTGTATCCATTCTTGCTTTGCTGGGACTCCTTCCCATTTTGGGGCAAGTAGAATTCTTGCCTCTGTAGTCACATACATGTATAAGTTTCTATACAATTTAGGTAGTTCTATCGTTATAATTCCCAAGAGAAAGGCTTCTGTTTTGTTTTGTTTTTTGTTTGTTTTTTGTGTGTTTTTGTTTTTGTTTGTTTTTGTTTTGTTTTGTTTTGACAAACATTATTTTAAACATCCTTTTCATTTCATTGTATATCATTTCCCAGTAAGCCTTAACCTTACTACAAGACCACCACATATGATAAAAAGACCTTTCTTTCTCTTTACATTTCCAACACTTACTTGATTTAGACTTGTACATTTTTGCCAGCTTACTCGGTGTTAGATACCATCGGTCTTCAACAGTTTTATACTGAGGCCATTTGACCAGCTTAACGCAGTACTGTCTGCTCCAGGGATGAGAACATGTGGCCTCCTAGATGTCATTCCCCTCGTCCTTGGAACTCCCATTGTCCATGCTTGCTGGAGAGTTGGGAGTCCCAGTAACACGGTCCCTGCCTATGGTCTAGTCTGACCTGGCAACAGCTCTCCCCTTTCTGCTCTCTTGAGACCGTGGCTGGAGATACCAGCAACTGAACTCTGCAGCTTCCATGTATAAAACATGCGCTCTTACCACTGACTTGTGGTGTTTCAGTAAAGAGCCCCTGGATCCCTTGAGGGAGCCTCCATGGAGGCTTAGGAGAATCCATGGGGCAAGCTGTGTACAGTGGATCCAGCCAATTCTTTTCCTGGCATGGAACGGTTGCGAATAAATCATTTGTTGCAAACAACAAATGTGACTAAGAAGCTTGCAACTTGAGAACACAAGAGCAGCCGTGCTGGATCGAGCCAATAGCCCATCTAGTCCAAAATTCTTCTCCCTCATTGGCCAACCAGGGGAAGCCCACATGAAAGATGTGAGTGCAAAAGCTCATGTTCCCCGGCAACTGTGATTCAGCAGCATTGTGCATGACTAATCGCCATTGAAGGGGACGCGGGTGGCGCTGTGGGTAAAACCTCAGTGCCTAGGACTTGCCAATCGTCAGGTCGGCGGTTCGAATCCCCACGGCGGGGTGCGCTCCCGTCGTTCGGTCCCAGCGCCTGCCAACCTAGCAGTTCGAAAGCACCTCCGGGTGCAAGTAGATAAATAGGGACCGCTTACCAGCGGGAAGGTAAACGGCGTTCCGTGTGCTGCGCTGGCTCACCAGATGCAGCTTGTCACGCTGGCCACGTGACCCGGAAGTGTCTGCGGACAGCGCTGGCTCCCGGCCTATAGAGTAAGATGAGCGCACAACCCTAGAGTCTGGCAAGACTGGCCCGTACGGGCAGGGGTACCTTTACCTTTAATCGCCATTGATAGTCTTACCCTCCACAATTTGTCTGATCATTCTTTCAGGCTGTCCAAGCTGGTAACTCTCACTACAACTTGTAGTAGGCTTGGCAAGGTTCGCTGAAGTACTGGCATCTCCCTTTACTGCAAATAATGTTGCTGCTGTTTTTTCTTGCCTTTTCCCAGGAGTTCCCTGGTGGCTTCAGCAGGCTTGGAAAGCCAAGGACGAACCCCATCTCCTTCCCCTCCTTACAGCAGCTCTCCAAGCCCATCAGGGTAAGAGGAAAATCGGATGAGAGCGTTGGCACTCCTCATCCCCCTAAAAAAAGAGGAGTGTGTGACTCTGTGTGTGCAGATTTGATTTAACTCTCATGGAGTATCTCTGGGGCTTGGCTATACTTTCATGGAGCTTTTGCTACTGGAGGAAAGGGAGAATTGAATTCCCCTACCAGCAGCAAAGAGCAACCAGAGTTGTTGAGCTTACTGTTGCTTCTGTACTCTTATAGGGGTGGAGAGAGGGCACTGAACAGAAACGAGCTGGAAAGCAAAACCTAGCAGAAGCCACATTTTTTTCCTAGGGTGGAGGAGACCTCATATTTTGATTTGGGTTCCTTTGAAAACCATTGGCAATCCTAATGTGCCACTTTCTACAACTTGCCTACCAAAATCCCTTCACTGGCACCACCACACCCTCCAGTTGCCAGCTTTCCATCTCCCTCTCTGGGCCCAAACAGCTCTCCCACTGTGTCAGTTACCATATTGTTCTCCAGTAAAACTTCGTTCTCCCAGGTCCAGCATTGGGGTCAGTATTGGTGGGCATTTGACAAGGCCCAGAACCTCCAGTAAGTTAGGAACCTAGGAAGCTGCCTTATACAGAGTCAGACTGTTGATCTATTGAGCTCAATGGGACCTTCTTCTGCACACACAGCAGGTGCTCTACCATTGAGCTGCAGCCTGCAGGGCCGCCACCCCAGAGCCTCCTGGCTGCTGTTGCCTCCTTCGGTGCCCTCCTTCGGCAGCATTCTCCACTTGCATGTGTGGATTAGGTCAAGGAGAAGAGAGGGCAATTGGTGTCTGTATCAAGGAAGGAGTGGGAAGCCCACTGAATGTATCTTCCCTGTCCAAAACCTGCAGCCGGTGTTCTGTTTGCAAAAACAGTTCCCAGCTCCCCTGCCCCACAGCCGTAAACATTTCTGTGATCCAATTCTCCACTGCTCCCAGGCTCCTACCACCCATTTCCTCGTGTTTCCTCCTCTCAACAGACCCTTCCACTTTTCCGAGTACCCACCCTCCCCTAAAAGTGCTCTGTGCTTTTTGTCCTGCAGCCGGCCTGGGCAGTTTTCATCAGGCAGCAAGCACGGGCAGTCGGTCCCCATCCCTGTCCCCACACAGATCCACAACTACCGCCGGATTGAGCAGAACCTTCAGTCTCCTAATCAATACACTTCCCCACGGTGAGTACTGAGGCTTTGATAGCGCTGAGATGTCCGGGAGGCTGTATTCTTGTCTCGCTGCCAATGTTCTTTGGTATAATTGACTCGGCATCAATCAGTGTTGAAAGGTAGCAACCCTGAGGGTTGTTCATGAGCAATCCAGAGAACACCTGGGTGCAGTCTAGAGAATGTCTGGTATGCCCCATGGAAATGAAGGAGGAGCACCAGGCGGCAAGTTGCAGAATTGCATACTTGTCCAGTGGCATGCAATTAGCCTGTCTCCAACATCCTTTTCACATGCTTGCCTGAAGGCTCATTATGATCTCACCGGGATTAAGAAATGGTCTTGCTCTGAAATAATTTACACGCAGATTAGGGAAGCCTTGGGAACCTGTCTGGCCGTTTCCTCATCTGTGGGATCTCATTTTGGTGCTATGTCACAAAAGAACTTTTTAGTAAATGACTATAAACATGCTCTCAAGGCAACACTCTTTCACTTCAGTGAAAGCTCTTAGGTTGGCGTGTACCAGGTCAGAGCCTTTTCTGTGGTGATCCAGGATCTCTGGAATACCTCCCTCCCCTCCCCTAGAAATGAGCGTGGCTCATTCTTAGTTGGACTTCAGGAAAGCCTTAGTACATATTATAGTGTACTAATAGGTTGCATCCTGCCTTCAGAGCATTGATGCACTAAAAGGCTAAAAATGCGTGCAATACAAACATGGGGATTTTGATAGGCTTTTTGTTCTAGTTGATTGAGGATATTTGGCCAGCTAATGGTTCACTCTTGTAAATGACTCTGCACTTTGTTCATTGCTGTTCCTTGTGCTCAGAACTCCATCCCTGAACATCTATGCTTTTCCTGTTTTCAATCTGCATAACATGTTAGATTAACAATAAATGGTCCTGCTGTGAGGAAACTGCAAACTAAAATTTGATACAGAGGAGACAACAGGGAGAGGAAAGGGAGTCTAAAGGGGGAAAACTGTGTTCGTTTCACTTATTTCCCCCCTTGATGCTTCAAACTTTGTCTCTCAGTCCTCTTCCTCCTCATGTAAAATGAGCCTTACGGTGCAATCCTGCCAGGTGAGTTGCATACCAAAGGGGAGCCTTAAGTATTATACATCTCCATTTGTTCGCATAATTCCTTTGTCTCTTCTATTCCTGCCTTCTCTGTTTCTGTTATCTTCACTCCTCTTTCTCCATTGTCGTCAAAGGAAGCTGCCTTATACCAAAGACAGACTTGGAGTCTGCTACAGACTGAATGGCAGTGGCTCTCCAGGGTTTTGCAAGCAGTGGTCTTTTTGAGCCCTAGCTAGAGATGCGAGAGATGGCATGCACAAGGTCCCAGGTTCAAAGCTTAGGCTGCTTAGCTACCTACCCTGTCAAAATTTGGATTGGGAGATCCTTGAGGCAGGGACTTCTTTTTAAAGCTGGTTTTACTCTGCGTTGCGCCGTTTAACATGGTTCTTTTATCAAAGTTGTTGACCTTCTTTTTTTCGATTTTGACTTGCCTAAGATCCCACCACCTTTCGGATATTCTGCCTTTGAAATCCCAGCAATGTCCAGGAAGATCCGGACGTATGGCAGCCCCTAGATATCATTCAATGAACCATATCGGATTTAGGATACAATCCTAAGCAATCTTACTGCAGAGTAACAACCATCGAGCTGTGTAAGACAGTGCTTACTCAGAACAATTTGTTAGTTGATTTAATAGCAAAGTTAAATTCCTTGGAATTTGCATGTTAATGCGGCAATATTTCTGAAGGAGAACAAAGCATACTTTCTTGGGGGATTTCAGATGTTGAATACGTGTGTCACTGCAGGTGCATTCTTAAGAGAAGCCTTCCCTCCCATGTGTGTGTGTGGTGGATAAAAGAGAGGTCGAAGTGAGGCACAAATACTTGCTTTCAGACTCTTGTTTGTCATTTGCATTTTTTTTTAATTTGCATCTGCATTGGAAAAGTTATAGATATGACTTCCTGATGGAACAGTGTCACTTTCCTAGTCCATCAAAAGGCTTTATGTTTATTTTAAACTCAGTCAAGGGTGAGGATCATCTGGCTTTCCCGATGTTACTGGACTCCAGCTTCCATCAACCCCAGCTTGCCTGGTCACAACCGTAAAGGATGCTGGGAGTTGTAGTCCAAATACACCTGGAGGGGCACCAACTTACCCACCCCCCCTGATCAAAGTGATTTGGCTCATCTTGCGTTTCTGTCCTGTTCGCCTTCTGCCAACAGTAGTCAAGTGAAACTTTCCGTAGGCTAGTAACTTTTATGAGCCTATTTACAAGGCTGGATTAGTTGCCTGAACGCTGCGGCTGTAATTATTGCGCGATATCAGCCCTGCCAGAGTGCTCCTTTCTTTAATGTATGTGTTTCTTTACATTTGCTTATGTGCTTAGTAAGGCATCTCAGCCGTGCGTCTTAGGCCTCTCTGCCACAGTCACATGATTCAGTTGCCGCATGAGCAATCCATGCCTGTGGCTTGGAACTTCAGCTGGGGAGCAGTCAAGTTCCACCGGATGTATGGCCCCAGGCTGTGTGACTGACTCCTTCCATCCTGTGCGGGCGGATCTTCCTCCTCTATGAAGTTGCTCGGCTCTCACACTCGCTGTTCTAGCGGCGGTGCTCCAGGATTCCAGGCTTCATTTCCTCCTCCACGGTTCTCCCGAAACACGAACAAGTGGGGATGGGGGAGTCACACGAGAAATACAGCCTCTCTAAAAGAGTGGAACTGAATTATTTGGGGGCCAAGTGCCCACTGATAATTGGAAGGAAAGGAGAAAGCAAGGCTCCTCAAGGGTGCAGTCATTTGAAGAGGTGAGTTTCTCTTCAGACTTTCCACAGCGTGTGCCTGCCCGCTAGTATCACGGTCAGCACTGGGTCTTGCTCAGGGGAGAGGAGGTGAAGCCAGGAATTAGGCCTTGGCACCAGCAGCCAGAACTGAAACATGCCCAGGCAGATTCCTGGAAACCATTATAGTTCTTCTAAGTCAGGGAAGCAATGGACCCCTTGAATAGGAAGAGTCACTGGTGTAGTCTCCTCTAACCTGTTGCCCCCCTGAATTCTTTTCATTGCAGGTCCTCTTAGCCTCAGCCAGTACAGTCTGAAAATGTCTGTTCAGGTGTCTTTTTAAGAAACCTTGTCCTACGACACAGATCTTTTGATTGCCTAACCTGTCCTTTATTTCCTGTGTTGCTGTTTTTTCACACCTTTATTTATTTGGTTTTTCAGATTCAAGCTTTACAGTCACATATCGAACATACAACATAAAAAAGAAGATTCCAAGGAATCTCTAGGACTTCCCTCCTGCCCTTTGTGGGTCCTCTTGTTAATCATTTCCTCCTGCATCTTTTATGATAATCCCAATCTTTTACGTCTCCATTGCGTCCAACTATAAGTGATATTCCAATCCTCCTAACAATTTTAACTGTTTACAATGGTTTTTAAGATAGGTTCCCCATTCCTTATTAAAATTTTGGTCTTCCTGATTTCTGATTCTTCCGGTCATTTTAGCTATTTTGGCATAATCCCATCAACTTGATCTGCCATTCTTCTCTGGTAGGGACTTTTATCTTCTTACCATCTTTGTGTTTACCATGTCAGCCCTCACATTCTGCACAGTCTTTGGCAGCTGCTGCAGTGCTGGTGTCGGTGCCACAACGTAGGTTAGGGAAGCCACTGTGCACATTCCTGTGCTGCAAGCCACCAGTGCCTGGCATCAATTGCAACCTGTGGTCGTTTTGATACTGGAGGGGTGCATGTGGCATCAACACAACTCCAGTTCCAAACAACCTCCCCTCCATGCCCCTCTGATTCTCGTGTACCTGTCTGTGCACTTCCTTTCTGTGTGGATTCCTTCCCTGCTTTCCAGTTCAGCCTCTGACCTCTGGACAATGGTCTTCTCCTTAGAAGAGGTGGCAAGCAGTTAGACCCCAGTCCATTGCCAGCCAACAGGCTCTTGATGGCCCCTGCGGGTGCGATGCTGCTATCCAACTTGCCAATGGAGTTGGGTGGAGACAATGCACATCAGTCTGAGCCCAAATCGCCAGAGGGACCATAGCTGCATTTGAACAGCAGCTTTCTGAGGATGTGCTCTGCCTTCTCAGTGCAACCACAGAGGCTGCCAGCAGCGCGATGCTTTTCTGCTCCGAGAATCTTTCTGTTCTGTTCTTTTGCTGCGGTTGTGTTCCTGCTGCAGCTGTTAAAGAGTGAAGGACTTGGAAAAACAACTGAGGTTCATGCTGTTCCCTGAAGGATCTAGAGCAAAAGCTGTCAAGAAGTGTAAACAAATAAACCAAAAGATAAACCTGTTGTGAAGAGCATCCTTTGGATTGTTCTTCTTGATATCCTTTTCCGAGACATCAGTTCAGAGGGCTTTCGCCCTGATTCTTCTCCAGTCAGGCTGCTGCTGTTGCCACGGAACCCGTCCTGTCAGTTCCATCTTAGGTCTTCCACATTGGCCTTTATGAAAAGCATCTCATGCCGAGCAGCCGCGAAGTCTGGTGTCACATGAGTGTTACAATATTTCAGTGACTGTCTTTCATCTGGAAATAAAGAACTAAGATGGCATTTCTTGTGTCTGCTGCAAATGTCTCCCTGTCCCCCCTTTTAAAGCCTCTCTTGCACCTCTGTCATTGGTCGCGCCACTTTGTAGTGTTGCAGGTTCAATGGGTCTCAGGCCCATTTTTCCCATTGACTTGTGGATGTTATTGATATGATTCTGTAGGGCCAAGACTCAGAGGTAGAGCACATGCTTTGCATATTACTATTATTAATATTTTTAATTATACCACCCTTCATCTGACAATCCCAAGGTGATTTGCAGCATTAGAAAAGTTGCGTGGCAAGGTCCCAACCCCCCCCCCCTTAGTAGAATAAAGACACGACTCAAATATTTAAGGTTAATGGGCTAAAAAGGCCACAACTTTATTGGTTACAGATGATGAGTGGTATTGGCTTAGGCATTAGATCTAACCAACTATATCTGACTCCAGCCCATCTGTAAGGAGTCCAGGAAGGGTTAACCACCAGTAGGGGAAGTCCTGCTAGTGCACATCAACTAGGAGCTCCCCCGGGGGTCACCGATAGGGGTCGTGCCTTAGGCCGTCACCTCCCTAGGCTTCGGACAGGGCCACACCCCCTGGAATCCACGGAATACCCTTCAATATGTGGGGGAGGTGATGGCGCTACCTCCCCTCTTCTCTTCTCCATAAATATTCCAATGCCTAACCGCCAAACCTTAAAAGTTGTGACAATTTGCTATGAGGTAGGCAAAAACCAAGTGGAAAAAATTCCTACCAGGCCCCTCAACGGCAACCAACCGAAGTCCATAGCAAGTTCATAAGAGATGAAAACCTTAAAGGGCGGGAGGGTGGGAAAACCGGAGCAGCTGGAAGCAGGAAAGAGAGTGATCTCCTGGCTGTGTCCTGCCTTTAATGGGCAGGCCACACCCCCAGACCAACCAGATTGGTTGGCCTGGCCAGTGATGCCAGCAAAACCACCTCCTCCTTAAGGCGGAAGGAAGCTTTACTGTTTCCGGCCATGGAGGCATGCAATTCAATCATGAAAAAGATCTCAGCTTCAGTCCCTGGCCTCTCCAGGTAATGTCCCCTGCCTGAAGCCCAGGAGAGCTGGTGCCAGTCAGTACAGAAATGAGTGAGCTAGATGAGTGAACTATTGGCCTGACTCTGTACCTTCCTATGCTTCTGAGCTTGTTCACCATTTGCTTTTCTTAAAATCTTGTCTGCCTACTACGTTCCCCGTGGAATAATGAGAGATCAAATCCTTTCCCATTAGGTCCGGAACAGTCAGAAGATCAAGCAGCAGCAACAGCCCACTTGGTTTCATGAAGGCCAGCCCTTCCCCTCCTTTTGCTGCTGGGGAGCATGGAGCTGTCCCAACCTCCAGAAGGTTCTCCTTTGGGGGCGCGAAGCCTTACACGCCATCCCCACAAGGTAAATTATTGGGTTTGCTTATTCCAGATTCTAGAAACCTCAGCGATTGTGTGTGTGTGTGTCTTTGCGCACTTTCCTTAATTCCAACCAGCATTTTGTGGGTGAATGCAGATATAGTAGCATAATTAGAGCAGTGACTCTGGTTTGGAAGTGTCCTAGCTATACTTGGTCCCATATGTGCCTGTTCCTCCCCAGGACTGAGAGGGAACTGTTTGAAAATGACAATGGTTTAAGGGAGGGACTACCAGTGAGAGGTACCACAATGCTCTCCATGTTGAGGGTCCAAAATTCAATTCCTATCATCTTAGTTGAAAGGATCTCAGGAGGAGAGCTCAGGAAAAGAAGAAGCCATCACAGCAGACTATGCTGAGCTATTATATATGTTTATTTATCCCAGGGTTGTGGGGTGGGGGTGGGGTCTGTCACTCCTCTGTGTATTGCAGGACTCCATCTCCCATCGTCACTGACTGGGGCTGATGGGATTTGGAGTCCAACACAAGTGGAAGGCCTCAGCTCCTATACTTTTGTTTTTACTAACACACACACACACACACACAGAGAAAACTTTTCCAGTTACTGAGTTGTTTGCTGTGAAATATAAAGAGATAAAAATAACACAAAATGCAGCAATATCAAAGTTCCATAATCAAACTAAACAGGTGTAAGAAGTCTTCAACTGAAAGCTTGCTGGAAGAAATAAATCTTTCATTCCTTTCAAAAAGAAACCAAGAGTGCGAGGTTTCTAATTAGATGTCCCAATGATTTGACTTGATATAAACCAGCTTTACTGTTTGCTTCGAACATCTGAAAGCACTCATAACCTAAAGCGAGCTTATGAACCTTTGACAAATTGTATCTTGACAAAACCTCATTTTTTCCTATGTAGGTTTCCAGAAGTTTGAATGGTATAACGGTGCCCCAATTTGATTTTAAAAACAACAGCAATATTGCTATAAGTAATCTAAACGAAATGTTTGCTATAGGGAGCATTCAATTTATTGTCTCTCAGTGCATTGATGTGCTTTTTAATTTTTCAGTTGGAACAATTCCAGAGCAGCCTGACCAGACCGTTCTCCCTTCTCCTCCCTTTGGAACAGAGATGAGAAGTCGGGTGCCCATACCTGGTAGGTTGCCCTTGGCACTATCTGGAGATTTCTGCCCTTCCCTTGCCATTTTTTCTTACTGATGCGTAACTCTGGGCACCCTGCTTCCCCTCTCGTCCCTCCAGGTGCCTCAGTGCCTGACCCTTCCCCTCGAGGGATGGGCTCCCGTCTCCACAGTGCTCCCAACCTGTCAGATTTGCATTCCTGCCGGCAGAAGATTACAAAGCAGTACTCTGATCCTCTGGTTCCCCATTTCAACCAGGCCGCCGCAGGCCAGCCAGCACAGACACACGGCCTGCAACCTTGCCGCCCACTGAGGTCCTCGCCAAAGTTCTCTGAGTTTATGCAGAGGAGCCCCTTGCCAACCATAATGGGCTCTCCAACAAAGGTATTGTTTTCCCCCTGCCCTCGATGGGCTCTCGCTTGTGGTCTCCTAAAGCTGTAAATCTAGGACAGAGATTCGCAAATGAACATCAGGTGCAGGCATATTAAACAGTCACATTTATTTTTAATAGTGCTTTTGTGTCCCATATTTACTGTGTTGTGTTTCGCTATTGTTGTATTTTAAATGATATTCCATGGAATTCAAATTGCATTGCAATGTAACGGAATATAAGAACTAAAAGACACAATTAAAAATGCAGTTAAAACCCGTGTGTTTTCTAGCGCAGCTCATGACAGTTGCCACAACAAGCAGGAAAATATATCCCCAAGTTTTAAAGTGTGTGAGGGGAGAGGTTTGGGTGCCCACTGATTTTAGGAGGTTGTGTAGAGGGCAATGTTATGAAATGGTGGGGGTAGCAGATGCAGCCCCTGTTTGTGATTGCATTTAATGCCTGTTTATGTGTGTATGGAGTGGGTGGGGGCTTTTATTAATAGCGGCAGAGATAAGCCATGGTGCAAACAGTGACTCTCTCACTCTGAACACTAGTGAACCACCTCTCTCCACTCCTCCCCCACTTTTTGTTTTTAATAATAAAAACAAAAATAGGTCATGCCTCCTTTTGAGTTCAACAAAACCCCAAGCTCCCAAAACCTGCTCGCCCTCCTGGCGCACCAGGGCGTCATGATCCCGACAAGGAACAAGACTCTGCCAGACTTGAAGGACATGGGCCATTTCCACTGCCAGCAGGCAGGCCTAGGATTGAGGCCTATGGAAGAAGCCAAGGGCAGGTACGAAGCTGACCAGAAAGGCATTTGCAATGCACACGACAAGTTTTGCTGTTATGATGGGCCGGGCTGGGGGGGATTGATGCTGATTTGCCACTCTCCTTGCATCCACATACCGTATTTTTCTCTCTAGAAGACGCACCAGACCATAAGACTCACCTAGTTTTTGGAGGAGGAAAACAAGGGAAAAAATATTCTGAAGCCTCTTCAGGGCAGGTGGAGTGTTCTTCCCGCTGCCCTGAAGAGGCTTCTGGGATAGCTGCGCAGCCTGCACTCGCTCCATAAGACGCACACACATTTCCCCTTACTTTTTAGGAGGGGAAAGGTGGGTCTTATAGAGCGAAAAAATGGTAATTTTTTATTTCACATCAAGGAATCTTCAAAGCGCCTCAAAATTTCCTGCGTTGGTTGTTTCTCAGGCTAAATAGGATTCCCAGCAAACCATATTCACAGTCCCTTCCTGGGAGTTCCGTTGGCTCCACATGCCAGCAACCCTTTAATCTCCTCACCCCAAGGTCAGGTATAGCAGGGGCAGGTAGAAAACTGAGTCAGTCCATTGGTTCGCCTAGCTTCATAATTGTGTGCATTGACCAGGCAGGGGACTCTCAACCCTGCGTAGTGATGCTGAGCCTTGAACTTGGGATTTCCTGTGTGCCACTGAGTTACAGCCCTGTCGCCTCCATGGCTATAGGCTCCCGTCTCCATGATTCACCTGCTTCAAACCGCCGCCTCCATCTCCATCCTTGTCTCCACCATGGTCCCCTTTTCCTGTTCCTCACACCAGCTCCCACAACTGCCTCTGCTTTGCCCACGTGTCAAATAGGGTCCCGTGAAGCAACAGGATGAAGGCTCCTTTTATCAAATAAGGGGGTGGGGGAATGTCCTGTGCTGGACATGTGGGGCAAGGCAAGAGAGTGTGCTTCGGCCCACTGCCCTATATCCAGCAACCGTGGTTGGTAACGAGAAGCTTTGGCAGCGGAGGAAGCCCCTGGTATCGTCAGTTACCAGGGATAAAGTGAGGGGAAGGATCCTGATTCAGACCCCAGAGATCTGCTGGCAATCACAGTGGGCAGTACTGAGCTAGCATGGCCCGGTATAAGGCAGCTTTCCATATTCCTTATGATGAGGAGCACAAGCTCAGCAGTTAGGCGTGTGACAGACACTCCTTGCACAGCAAGTGCACACAAGAAGTGCTGTCTCAGGCAGGCTAAACAGGTGCATAGCTTAGTTTGCCAGAGAAATGCCACACTTTTCCTGCTTTAGCTGCTGAGAGGTCCACACTAATGGCTAGCATCCAATGGAATGACTCCATAATTGCTCTCATCCTCTCCTCCTCCTGTCATTTCCTCTGATGATATCCTGGATTGCCCAACATGGGGAGGCTTGGTCCAGCGCCAGTTCTAATCCATTTATGATTCTATTCCTTGGTATTCATCTAGGTCAGGCATAGGCAAACTCGGCCCTCCAGATGTTTTGGGACTACAACTCCCACGATCCCTAGCTAACAGGACCAGTGGTCAGGGATGATAAGAATTGTAGTCCCAAAACATCTGGAGGGCCGAGTTTGCCTATGCCTGATCTAGGCTCTCGATTCTCAGACATTTCAGGGGACGGAAATTCTTTCCCTGAAGCCATGGGAAGTAAAACAAACAAACATATGACATTTTTTTAAAAAATATATTTTTATTAAGTTTTACATAACAAATTTAAATTCAAACACATTATTCACCTCATCATTTAGGACTCTCTGAATCCCTTGACTTCCCTCTGCCCTTCTGTTGTTACCATTATCAATCTTTCTTTTTCATCGGCTTATCTTATTTTCTCTTAATTTGTTTTAAAAAAATCAGCTCATTGTAAATCATTTCCCAGAATGCTTTAGTTATCTTGCACGTCCGCCACATATTTCCAGCAAACACTGGAAGCAGTTCTATACATTTTTGCTAGTTTTACAGGTGTTAAATACCACCAATACATAATTTTCATGTAGTTTTCATTCAGCACAAAGCATGCTGTAAATTTTAAGTCTTCCCTCCATTATTTTCCCCAAGATGAAAATTGAATATTGTGCCCAGTGTCTTGTGCCCATTTTATCATTACTGATTCAACTTCTTCGTCCTTAGTATGCCACTCTAGCAACAATTTATACATTTTAGAAAGTAACTTCACATTATTTTCCAATAATTCCTTTTCAAACCTTGAAATTTCTGTACTAAATCCATTTTTCTTATCTATTTTCAACACATCATTTCCTTGGTGGTGTTGCAACCAGTTTGTCACTGTCTTACATTTTCAAAACTACATACATCAATTTTGTTTACTGTTATCGAAAAACCAAGTGACGAGCTTTCTGCTTCTGTTTATTCTGAAACTACCCAGGAAAAATAGGTGGGGAGCGGGTTTTTTTTGAAGCCAGGAATAATAGATAGGAAGGGAGGAATTCTGATGGGACAGGAGAACGGAACAGTTTCAGGAGGACTTGGGGGGGGTGTTGCGTAAAAGGAGGCTGCAAATTGCTCACCTGTGCTCTAAGAACCTGGCTTTTTAAAAAAAAAACAATTGAGCAGTCTTTTCCAGGCTGGCATCCTTCAGATGTTTTAGACTGCAGTTTCCATCAGGCTCAGGCTGATGGGTTACCTCATGAGTTGGCAACCCAGATCTGGTGCCTCATTGGCAGGTCTGAGGCAACCCTTGCAAATCTACCCTCTTGGGGGCTGGGGCTGAGCTCCATTCCAAACATGCAGTAGAGCTCTCCCCAGCCAGCCAGCCAGTTTGCATTTGCCAGCTAAGGTGGGCTCCATTTTGCCTTAGATAGAGCCCTCCCGGCCTGTCAGCTTGATGTTCTAGAGCATGCATCCCCAAACTTAGCCCTCCAGCTGTTTTGGGACTAGCAATTCCCATCATCCCTGACCACTGGTCCTGTGAGCTAGGGATGATGGGAGTTGTAGTCCCAAAACAGCTGGAGGGCCAGGTTTGAGGATGCCTGTTCTAGAGAGGCCTTTGGTCCCTCTTTAAAGGCCACTGCAATTTTCATTGCAACCAGCCGTTAGGGAGCAGAAATCCACAACACCTGTGCGTCCGTCCGTCCCCTCACATTCACTTGTCTTGCTTCTCTCCATCCTCCAGGTCTCTCAGCACTGGTCGCCTCACTGATCTCCTCCTCAAAGCTGCTTTTGGGGAAGCTGGAAGCAATGACAGTTTAAACAATGAGAAGCCCATGGAAATCACAGGTACGGGGAGATGGGAAATTCTGGGGTTCCTTTTTTGTTGTGCTCCTTTTTTTAGTTACTAGAATTGGAGGAGCTATACACAGGGTTCTCTTCCCTCACCCTCTCACACAAATCCATAATATCCTGACAACAGCCCTGAGAGGTAGGCTAAGTTGAGAGACAGCAAGTGACTGGCTCAAACACCCAGTGAGCTTCATGGCTTAGTTGGGGGATTTGAACCTTAGTCCCACCAACACTCTTAACTTCTAGGCTGACTGTGTTTCTATCTTGGTATCTTTTATGGCTCTCATAATATCTTAACTCAAGCCAATTTTTTTTGCCATTCTTTCTTCGTAGCTCCTTCTGCTGTCTGTGGAGGAAACTTACACTCTGGGGCCAGAGATGGTGGCTCGGCAAGCCCTTCCCCAGTGGTCTTTACTGTTGGTTCCCCTCCCAGTGGGACAACCCCACCGCAGACCACCAGGACCAGAATGTTTTCAGGTAATGAGTGCTACCTGCCATCTTGATACGGCTGTCCAGAAGGAAATTGGAGTTTTCTTCATAGTTACTGTCCTGGCTTTGTGTCCTAACTCAGGGATGTGTGTATTCTAGGAACAAGGAATCTAGTGTCTCACATGCACATACACACACTGTGAGCCACCAGACAAACTTGCTTCCCTGTTATATCACAGATCTTCAGCTAGTGATTATACAGACACCTTCCTTTAAAAAAAAAAAGTGAATTTTTGAGATCTAAGGAAGCTCTGGGGATTTGCCCCACTCAAAAGCTTCACTAAGTTCTGGGTGCGCCCTGGAGTACTGGTGCACACATGGAGACTATTTTTATTTCAGGAGAAGCACCATAAACGAAGCTCCTGCTCACATGGAGCTCTGCTTGCAAGCACTGCCATTCTCATTGTCATTGGGATGATAGTCCTACGAAATAAGGCTGTGTTTGGACTTTGCTTGGTGGAAAGGGATTAATAAAGATAGCTGAGGATTAAAATGTCACAATTAAGGGCTCATCCACACTTACCTTTCGCCCTGCTTCAAAGGTCCTTGTCTGAGTGCACCCCATCTAACTTTCTCCAGGAAAACCTGCTCTTTAATGCTGATTCAGAACAAGCGGAAATTCAGGATTCCCCAAAATTCCTGAAATTCAGAAAATTGGCACAAAAGGAAGCCTGGATGAGCCCTAAATTGGAGCTTAATCTGAATCAATAAATTAAACTGTGTTTGTTTGTTTTTCTCCTTTTCCAGAAGAGTCACGTCTAGGTAACTTTTGCTTCTCTGTTTCAACCCTTTTAGTGGGATCTTCCAGCTCTCACAGTTCGGGAGGGTCTTTCAGCGGGCGGCACTTCATCATGAGCGCTGGCGGGGATGTGCTCGAAGCCCCATCAGGCATCAGATATACTTTTGCCGACCCCATCACTGCCAACCTGGAGGGAGCAGTCACCTTTGAGGCACCTGAGCTACCAGAGGAGACGCTCATGGAAGTGAGTTGAAACCCACCTCCCCACCCACCCCAGAGACCCAAGATTAAAACATGAGGCTGAAATTCATTTGGTCCTCCACAGGTTCATCAGTGTTCCTCGCATTTCTCACCTTGTCAGACACAGACACAGTTTGGAACTTAACATTCTTGGCCTCCCTGGGTTTTATTAAAAGCAAAATGCTGGTCCTTGTGATTGTTGGGAGGTAAAAGAACAAAAATATGTTGTCAGTGTCATGGGGGGGTTCAGCAGCGCTGAGGTGGGGCTCCAGTGCCTTACGTAGCTCAACACAGCAGCTCCCCATCCTGTCCCTGTTTGCTACTTCTGCACAAATCATGAGATATGGAATCAATTGCTGGAAAAAGATTCTAGCTACCCCACTTTAAGATGTTGTATTGTAAAGCTCTCCAGTGCCTCCGCCGCTATGTGGCTTTCCGGTGTTCCTGATCTAGGTAAATATTTAGCATCTTTGCCCTCTGAGGTCTTGTTCAGGCTTTACAAACCTATGAGATAGGTTAGGCTAAGGGAGTTATTTGCCACTTAAAAGACCTTCATGTCCGAATGGGGATTTGAACCAAGATCTCCATGGTTCTATTCTGGTATTTTATCTGCTATGGCACACTGTCATTTAGGGCATCGTTTTATAGCTGCCAGTTTGTTCTTTAACAATTTTTTAAATTAATTGACTTGTGCTTTCAGGGACTTGCAGGCAATACTTGTAGCTTAAGGTACCCCTGCCCATACGGGCCAGTCTTGACAGACTCTAGGGTTGTGCGCCCATCTCACTTAAGAGGCCGGGGGCCAGCGCTGTCCGCAGACACTTCCGGGTCACGTGGCCAGCGTGACAAAGCTGCATCTGGCGAGCCAGCGCAGCACACGGAACACCGTTTACCTTCCCGCTGGTAAGCGGTCCCTATTTATCTACTTGCACCCGAGGGTGCTTTCGAACTGCTAGGTTGGCAGGCGCTGGGACCGAGCGACGGGAGCGCACCCCGCCGCGGGGATTCGAACCACCGACCTTTCGATCGGCAAGTCCTAGGCGCTGAGGCTTTAACCCACAGCGCCACCCTCTTGTAGCTTAGAAATGTTAAATAAGGTCAAGTGGGAGGGAGTTCCAAAAGTCGTGTAGGCACCACATCTGGGTATAATACTTTATATTTCACAGCAAACAACTCAGTAACTGGAAAAGTTCTCTCTCTCTCTCTCTCTCTCTCTCTCTCTCTCTCTCTCTCTCTCTCTCTGTGTGTGTGTGTGTGTGTGTGTAGAGCTGCATTGTTAATTATCACTGAATACTATGTATTTGTGGTTTCTTTCCTTCCATTCATCTTTGTGATATATGCTGCTGCCACTTGACTCCCAGCTGCTTCCTTTTCCAAGCAAAAGAGGCCTTTTTAAAACTTCCCTCCTGTATTATGAGAAGGCTCTCCCTTGGCTCATTTGGTTGCTATGGACAGTGAAGGAGAGGCAGCATCACATTGGGGCTTGTGTTCCCATGAATGGAGCGGAGGGTGCTTGTTGTTGTTTGGCTACGGGAAGCCTCTCAACTAAGCCAGGAGCTCGCTGAGGGATAAAGCCAGCCTCAGTTTTCCATCTGTATACAGGAAGAAGAGAATGTCTTTAGAGGAAGCCTGCGAATCTGGAAAGGGGAGTAGAATTGAAAGCTCTGAACCGTAAAAGTTGAGACCGTTGCTAGGTAATAAATACCTAGTGAAATGTTAGTGGAGTGTTGTCAGAATGCTGTCTCGTCAGTAGTGAAAGCTTGAATTACACCTGATATTTGGATCGCGCCGGTGCTTTCTGAAGGAGACTGAATGTCAGGCTCTTGGAGTCGCAGCCGCCTGATTCCCACCCTCCCACCCCCAAGCGACCAGGGCATTGCATTCTTACCATTTCCAGTTCTTGAGTCAGGTCTGCTCTTTCACATTGTCTGCAAAGCTGCACGCGTGTTTAAAAATAACCAGTGATCCTGGCCAAAGACGTGGTTCTCCATGTTCCAAGCTGCTATCTCCTGAGTGTGCAAAGGTGTTGGGCTAGGGAGACAGATGAAAACAAAACCCATGCGGTTGGCTGTGTTGGTGCTCAGAGAGATGGGTTTCCAACCCTTTAAAAAAAATTTTAAAACTCACTCGGTTCAGGTTGCTGTTGAGCATCAAGCCCTCCCACCCACTCCTTTTGTATGTGAATTGAACAAAAACCTCTGGCAAATGTGCACCTAGATGAAAGCGATGGGAGGGAGAAGAGGGGGGAGGGGGCAGTGAAGGAAAGTAGGTCACTGTTTCATCTCTATTTATAGACTCTCAGCAGTTTCTATAGAGCTGTGCAAACACAGGCTCTGCACAAGTCTCAATCCCAGCTTTTTAATTTTTAAAGTCATTAATTCCGTGAGTGGGCAGGCCCGTAAAGGCGGCGGCTGATTTGGTACCGGCTTCCTCTGAATGAGAACTACAGTGGGAGCCATGGGAATGTTCCTCACCTGTGGCTCCCCTTGAACTACAGGTGCAACTCGAAAAATTAGAATATAATGGAAAAGTTCGTTTATTTCAGTAATTCAACTTAAAAGCTGAAACTAATATATGAGATGGACTCACGACATGCAAAGCGAGATATGTCAAGCCTTTATTTGTTATAATTGTGATGATTATGGTGTACTGAAATAAATGAACTTTTCCACGATATTCTAATTTTTCGAGTTTCACCTGTAGAGCTGCGTCAGGAGCCCTGGGAGCGTGCGTTCATGTTTTCCACCCATCCTGCCTCTTCCTTCCACTTTGCTTAACCGTGGCCAGGGAGAGTGTTGGCACAGGCCTTATCCCCACAGCCATTCCTTCTCAGAGCTCAGAGGGCCATTCCTAACTCTCTCCCCATTCCCATTCCCCCAGACTTATCTTCCCAATAACCAGTGCTCTCTTTTTTAGGGTTTACTCAAGGTTATGCAGTACTGGCACCTCTTTTTTGTTTGTTAAAAAGTGTGACACTTACCATAACAACTTCATGAGTACCGGCACTTCTTTTTCTAGAAAAAGTGCGCTTACAATAACCCTATGAAGCAGCAGAAGCAACAGATATGTTTCTGGCATCTTAAATGCAAACCAGTTTATTAAAAGAAGCCTGTGGACTGTATTGGATTCTGAGTGAGAGAGCAACTGGCTTGGTTAAAGGCCATACAGCGCTGTTGTTTTTTAGAGCATTTGTATCCCTCTCTTCAGCCAAAAAGGCTCCCAGGGTGGCTTACTATCAGTTAAAGCAGGACAGTCGCTGCTCTCAGGAGTGCAATCCTCAAAACAAACAGAACTACACACAAAGGGAAATACACAGGCAGGGAAGAGGCAGGGGAAAGCGGATTATTAAATAATGACCATCTGGCATAGGAACAGTTCAGGGGCAGAGGAAGTTCCTGATGGAGCATGTCTTTCAATGGTGCTGATGGAAGGAGGCCCACTTCCCTGCTGTCCCAGTGAGGCAGCCTGATGCCAGGGGGAGGTTGAGGGAGAGAAGGCCTGCTGGAGGCCCCCTCCCCAGATGACTCCCAAGGGCATGCAGCCCTCGACAGGGGAAAGGTTGCCCACCCGTAGTGTAAAGCTCACAGCCTAAGACAAGGCGTTGGTCTTTCCGTGAATCTGCTGCTTTCTGCATTCTAGAGCTGGCTTGCTAACGAAACCTCGTCTCCCTTTGTCTCCCCGCTCACAGCAAGAGCACACGGACATCCTTCGCAGCCTGCGGTTCACCCTGGCCTTTGTCCACTACGTGATGGAGATAGCGGCCGTCAAAGGGAACACCAGCGAGATGAGCAGCTCGGTGGCCTCCGAGTACCAGCTCCAGGAAAGCGTCGTGGCTGACCAGATCAGCCTGCTCAGCAAAGAATGGAGGTAAAGGGTGATGTTTGGGGAGGTCCCCGAGAGAACTGCGATGGCCTGGCTTGGGCTCAAAGCAGCTTTGTGCGTCTTCCTCTGCAGCTGTGTGGGTGGCAGCTCCATTAATCTGCTGGTGCTTTCTTTTTTCAGCTATGCAGAACAGTTGGTGCTGTACTTGAAAGTAGCGGAGTTGCTGTCCGCAGGCCTGCAGATGGCCATAGACCAGATCCGGGCAGGCAAGTTGTGCCTCTCCTCCACCGTCAAACAAAGTAAGCACTCTTCTTCCAATGCACACACACAGGGGGATTCCTGATTGTGGGTTGTATCCCATGGTACTCCTACTTAGGTTGGACCCACTAAAATTAGTAATAGCTATGAGTCAACTCTGATTAAGACAACCATAGGCTGCAACCCACTTCTCTTTTAAATTTTTTTTATTTATGCACTTTCACAGACTTAGTATACACATCTTACGTTTTCATTCTTTAATCACACTTCTGTTAGCTTGCTATGCCCCTATATTTTTTAGCAACTATCTCCTGTGATGCTGATAGAATTGTCCCTTTCTCTCACCTTTGCAGCGAGCAATACCTGCTCAGAAAAATAATCCTTGCACCCAGTGATGGCATTGATCCATGTCCAGCCCCCCCCCGCCCCCCCCCTCAGAGGTCCCGAGAGGCCTTGGCCACGTCCGGCTTTTGAAACCCTGAGCCATCATATAAATACAAAATGGCAACTTTCCAAAACAAAATAAGGCATAAAACAGACAGACACCAAGAGAGAGAAAGTGGTTTGTTTATATTGAGAGGACATGTTCATCACTGTCAACTCTTGTTGCCATCAGAACTGATGCATTTGTTACATATAATAAAACACAAGTGTGTTGTCATGCTGCAGTTTGCTTGGCCACAGACAGGTGGCGATGCCGACCACAGGGTGACAAGAGGTGGTGTTTAGGTGGTCCAGGCTGTGCGTGCCAAAGGTCCCCGGCACCTGAAATTAAAAGGATACAGTTGCAGAGGATGAGAGACCCTTGCCTGAGACCCCAGAGAGGTACTGCCAGTTTGAGCAGTATTCAGGCAATACTCAGAGAGGTCCTACTTCTTTTCTCCCCCGGCCCCCCTGCTATTACATTCCAGGGTGAAGTGAAAATTGAGTTAGCCAAGCATACAAGCTCAATCTGTCCTGTGTGTACTTGTTTTTATCTTCCTCTATCTCTCTCAAATTAGGGACAGCACTGTTTTGCACTCTGTAAAATGTGATCGGTGCTACGGGTCTCCACATGTATTCCAGTTGCCCGTCTGGAAAACACGTCGCCTGATCTGAATGTTTCAGCTCTTAGCTATGTGCAAGGGCTTAACGATAATTGATGTGGGTGCAACTTAATAATTACATGTTGTGCCTCTGCTGTTAAATAACACACAGTCACTCAGCAGGCTGAATCATTTTGTTCCTTGGCACAGGATCCTCTGCGGGTACTGGAGGCAAAAGCAGAGTCCACAGAAAGGAATGATGTTTACATATACGTAAGCATCGTATTACAGCACCATCTAGGGCACAAGACCAGGGGTATTGGTGAGCTTGGGGAACTCAGTGCTTTGCAAACGTATCAGAAGTCTTTGTGGAGGGCAGCCTTCAGCAGTAACCCTGAGTTGGCCCAATGAGGACAGGGCAAGCAAAGAATTTTGGCCACAGAATGCTGACTGGCTGTTGGGCGTGGGCAGAGGGACAAATCTTGGAAGAGTTTATGGCTGAAAAGGATTATTCCTTGCTGCAACTCTCTGGGTTCTGCTGTGAAAGAAGATTCTGCTTGTGCATACAAATAAAATGATGATGTTGTTGTTGATGATAATTTCAAGATTGCACAGCCCCATTCTCAGTTTTAAATTGTGTTTCCAAAACTGCACACAAGAAAAGCTTCTAGGAGGGGGAGCTTAGCATTTTTATTTTTATTAGCAGCATTTTTAGCAGCTGCAGCAGAGGTAAGGTTTCAGATAATAAACCACAGCAAATAAAATGAACATCTGCTGTTAATCATCATCATCATCATCATCATCTTAGGCAAGTTGAAAGGTGCCTAAATTTTAAGAGAGGAGATACCTGATGGACCAACCTCTTTATGGAAGGCATCTCATAAATAGGGTATCATTATCATCATCGTTGAAGTAGCCCTCTCCCCAGATGTTACATGCTGTAGCTGGGACAGTGAGGTCGCTCAAAGAAGGGCCTCTAAGGATCTCAGGGCTCAGATAGGCTCAGGCACCTGGGAGTCCTTCGGATGCCCCAATTGGAAGCCATTCCCCCAGTAAGCCAGTTCCCCAAACCTCCATCAAATGTTGGGCAAATGATGGGCAGTCGGTTGACAACGTTGGTCTTGGTCACCACTGTGGCGAGAGACTGTTGATGTGGATAAGGAGTGGCCAGAAGCGGAGGCCGTCCTGTAAAGTAGTGTCATCCACCCCTTCTTCTCCTTCTCCTTCTCCTAGTTGTGAGGAAGCTCAACGATCTGTATAAATCCAGTGTTTCCTCCTGCCATTGCCTGAACATGAGGTTGCAGAGGTGGTTATTGGACAAGCAGAAGCTCATGGATCGCATCAACAGCATCACGGCCGAGAAGCTCATCTTCAGCCACGCCGTGCAGATGGTAGGGCGAAATGCTTCTCATGTATACTGGGTTGCATGTGTGCAGTATTTGGGGGTTAGTATGGTGGCATTTGCTGAGCCCTAGGGATGGGCCTCAGGGACGCGGGTGGCGCTGTGGGTAAAAGCCTCAGCGCCTAGGGCTTGCCAATCGAAAGGTCGGCGGTTCGAATCCCCGCGGCGGGGTGCGCTCCCGCTGCTCGGTCCCAGCGCCTGCCAGCCTAGCAGTTCGAAAGCACCCCCGGGTGCAAGTAGATAAATAGGGACTGCTTACTGGCGGGAAGGTAAACAGCATTTCCGTGTGCTGCGCTGGCTTGCCAGATGCAGCTTGTCACGCTGGCCACGTGACCCGGAAGTGTCTTCGGACAGCGCTGGCCCCCAGCCTTTTAAGTGAGATGGGCGCACAACCCTAGAGTCTGGCAAGACTGACCCGTACGGGCAGGGGTACCTTTACTTTTACCTTTTAGGGATGGGCCTCATCTCTCTGCAGGATACGAAGGGGCCCTAATAAGAATTTTAACACATAATCACCTTAAGTAGCAGTAGCAGCAAGGGCCGTGCAAACCGGAAGAGAACCCCCCAGTTCTCTGGGAATGCGTTCTTTGCACCGAGCACAGCCCTTTTTGTGGGCTGTGTCTATTCATGGTGGTAGAATGCATGCAGACTGATCAATCCTGGGCACCCACAGGGATAAAAGGGTCTCCAGTAACTTGGGGAAACCTTGGAACGGACACAGTAGATCTAGAACTAGCCTAGATGTACCAGTGACCTGATGAGATATAAGGCAGCATCAGATGGTCACTTTGCATCCCTCTGGCGTATCTTTGGGGTTTTTGCACTCCCTCAAACCACAGAGTCCTCTTTGCACAGAGTACCCCAGAGAGATTGGAAGCAGAACTAGACGGAAAACCTCCCTGGGTGCTCTGAGTGAAAATGGTCTTCAGGGATTTTTACCAGCCTCTGGGCTTTGGCAGGTGCTCAACTGTACCAATCCCTAGTGCCAGCCGTGCCTCCCCACTCTCATCCCTCTGCTGTCTTCAGCATATTTTTAAGCATCCTTTCTAGGTGCCTCTTCTGAACGTGCTGCATCCCGCCCCCCCCCCCACAGCCAAAGCAAGAAGGAACTCCCTGCTATTGTCAGTCTCCTGCTTTCTGCCTAGACCTTTTGACGATGCTCTCCTTGGGCAATATCCACATGAGAGGCACGTTCCTAGTTTGAAATAGTCAGGTGATGCTCCCCATGATGCCTCAGTGCACAGGATCTTCCTGCAGGAGTGCAGCAGAATCAGCCCCTTTTGCCCATCCCCGCTGGCAGCGAACTGGAGTCGGAAAGCCACAGCAGAGAGATGCGAGCTTATTAAGAGGGCAGTGTGAAAATGCATTCTACGCTTTTCAGCAGCCGTGCAATGTGGGGTGTGTGTGTATGTGTGAATCTTTGCTTATGTGCAAATCCAGTCTGTTGAGGCAGAGTTGCGCAAGTATTATATTCGCTGGCAGAATAACCACTGGGGGCATTCTCTCTCCAGGTTCAGGCTGCAGCGCTGGATGAGATGTTTCATCACAGAGAAGATTGTGCACAACGATACCACAAGGCACTGCTGCTCATGGAGGGGCTCTTGAACATCATCACTGAGCAAGGCGACATTGAGAACATTAATAAATGTAAGGGTCGGGGAAATGCTTTCTTTTCTTTTCTTTTCTTTAAGTAAAAAAGGTATAGATGTGATGGTACAATATGGCCGTGCCGTCCGTATTATTTTTGTGAGGCATTCCCTGATGCTAATTGGTAAAGCACTGCTCAGAAATCATCTTGCTTCTTTTCCTGCATGTGGTTTTAAAAGAAGAAAAAAGCAGTGCTTGTGAAGGGGCATCTATAACAGAGGGGAGACTCTGAGGAGCTGAAAAACTAAAAGGCACAGCAAATAATTCTACGTTAAATTCTCCTAGCTTAAAAAGAGAATGCAGGTGGAATGAGTGGATCATAGGCAGAGCAAATGGGAGGAACAATAAAAGAGCAGGACAATAGAAAATCAAATGAACTGTAGAATTGGTGTGAAGGGATCTGAAGGCTCATCTACTCCAACATTTAAAAACCCCAGCAGCTGGCCAGGCAGCCTCTGCCTAAAAACCACCAATGAAGGAGAATCTGTAATTCCCCAACTGGAGGCACATCAGAGTTCAGGATAGTGTAGTCCAAGGAAATTTCATAACCTCGTAACACCTTTACAGTTCAGTCCTCTAGCTGCCTACTCAGAAGGCCCCTTGGACTTCATCCCAGGACAGGGTTATAGGAGTGCAGTCTTGGTTGTTACATTTCAGTTTCTACTAGATTCTAATCAACTCCACACACCTTAGGGATTGATTTATTATGTTCCACCTCAATCACTGAGATCATCTGATGGAGCACTTCTAATGGTTCCCCGCATCCCTGAGGTTTTGTTGGCTGTCACTAGGGACCAAGCCTTTAACGTGGCAGGTTGTGCGCCATGAAACTCGCTGCCAGCAGTGATTCAGCAGGAACCAATCCCTCCTTTCATTAGAACATCTGTTTTTAGCCAGTAATCAGTATCTATTGGTGGTTTTATGCTGGTTTTATTGTTTGTTGTACTTGATGTGTTGATGTTGGACACGGGTGGTGTTGTCTAAATCACTGAGCCTTTGGGGCTTGTCAATATTAAGGTTGGCGGTTCGAATCCCCACGATGGGGTGAGCTCCCATTGCTCTATCCCAGCTTCTGCCAACCTAACAGTTCAAAAGCATGCCAGCACGAGTAGATAAATAGGTACTGCTGCAACAGGAAGGTAAATGGCGTTTCCGTGCGCTCTGGTTTCCGTCACTGTGTACCGTTGCACCAGAAGCGGTTTAGTCATGCTGGTCACATGATCCGGAAAGCTGCCTGTGGACAAACGCCGGCTCCCTCAACCTGAAAGCGAGATGAGCGACATACCCCATAGTCGCCTTTGATGGACTTAACAATCCAGGGATCATTTACTTTTACCTTTTACTCTGTCTTGAAGTATGTTTATAAAAGTGTGGATTATCCATCCATCCATATCCTTGCCTGGTTCACCAATAATGCTACCCCCAACCTCTGTGCAGCTGAGACGAGGAATAAAGCAGTTTTCTGTTTCACTTGTCTTGATTCCTGGCTTTATCATTAGATACAAACCAGGATTTCATGATTCCAAATGCATGCAATTACAAAAGAAGCCACCTTCAAGCTATGGGTTACAAAGCTGTCTAATTCAGCAAACTAGAGTTTACCTTAAACTACAAGTCTTGGTTTGCACATCACGGCAAACCAGTAATTGGGGAAAGTGAAACTGAGAGTGCTCAAGTCCAAACTTTTGCTCAGACTCCCAAAAGCTCTTGCAGATGATGCTCAAACCAGCCTTCCTCAGTGTGGTGCCCTCCTGATGTTCTACTTCCAGCTCCCATTTCCTCCAGCAAACATGGCTAATGGTCAAGGTAGATGGGGAGAGGACTCCAACCATGTCTGGGGGGCACAGAGATTGAGGCAGCTGTGCCAAACCATGGTTTAGTGTTGTGTGTGAACAAGCACGATACTGGTGTTGCTGCAAGGACAGCTGACCCCAAAAAATCTCATTTTCCCCATTTGCTTTCTCTTTCCAGGTAAAATGTGTATCGAACGCCGGCTGTCGGCTCTACTATCCGGCATCTGTGCATGAGGAAAATAGCCCTTAACTCTGCAGGTGATCATTTTCCGTCTCCAAGCACCTGCTACCAAGATGGCAAAGCACTGTATGAGCAAGCCCATCGGCAACGAATTTATCGGACGTCCATGGCGGTTTCCCTGTTTTGGCGTCCTTCGAGGAGAACTTCCCCTGGGTCGGACATGGAATTGCTACAATCTTTTTGTGTGTGTGTGTGTGTGGTCACAATACAAACCGGGGAAAGATGGTTGTTGATACGGAAGGCTTGTTCCCCTTGCCCCAACTCACCATCTGGTGGGAAACAGCTGGATAAAAAAGGAGAAGGCTCAAGCCCTCCTTTCATGCCTGTTTTCAGAGAGCAGGGTTGCTGTTGAGCTGGCCTTGCCTGGAGCACTGAGGTCCACTGCTGGCGGTGAATGATCCAGACGTTTCTGCTCTTGGAATGAAAGAGGTTTCTCCGGAAGAGGGAGTGTCCCTATTGGCCAGTTCTGCAATCCAAGCCCTCGTCTGCTGATAGCCAATCACTTGGGAGCACTGTTCCTACTACGCCTCTCATTGCTTGCCGTACGGGAAGAGCAACAGCGGTTATGTGGCAGGCGTGGAAGCCAGAAGCTCACCTTGCTCTGAGAAATCATTACGTTATTTTTCCCCCACTGCAATGCTGGAAATCTTGAGTTCAGAGTCCCTCACCTACATGACAGACAGAAGCAGGGTGGGTGGGGTTGGAAGCCGTTCCTTTCCTACGTGGACATGGGCAGAGCTAAAGAGAGCTTGTCTATCCAGACTGGAGCACTGGGACTTGGACTCCACACTCTCTTGCTTTGGTCTCAAGCAGCCAAAATGTTTTTTCTTCGCCCAAAAGGGAGTCGTTCAATAGATGCATGCTTGCCAGCCCTCTCCTCCCATGGCCTGCGTCTAAGCATGAGAAAGCATCTGTGCTGCTCTTGGCTGTTGCCCAGATAAGCAATCCCTCCTCCCAGAAGGGTGGGAAGCAATATAAGAAAAACACACATAACACGCATACTAGCTTTGTGAATCAAAGGAGCACTTTACGGACAACATGAACCTGAGCTTTGGATACTTGGCAGCCCCGCAGTGATCCAAAAACGTCGCAACTTCTAGGAATGCTGTTCCCCTGCCCTCCCATTGCCTCACGCGTTGTTGGTTGTTTGTCTGTTGGGTGGTTGTCGTGGTTGTTTTAAAAGAAATTGCACTACAAGTGTGTATGTGTTTTTGTGCGCGTGTGTATACATATTCATATATATTACCACGTTAATATATATTAATATGTATATGGTATATAATATATAATGTCACTCTATGTGTTAACTGTACTGTATTTTATGCTTGTGAGGAGAAAAAGAAAATTAACAATCAAGCAGTCTATGTCCTTTTCATGACCAGCGGCGCTAGCGTGAAAAAAAATTCAGTACCATTTTGTCTTTTCCTTTTTTAAAAAAACAGATGTGCTGTTTGGAGGTCCAGGTTTTTTGAAAACTCAAGGATGAGGTCTTGATATTGTGCATGCTTCATTCCTGCCCCCTCCATTGTTTATAAAAACAAATCCCCCCTTTTTTTGGCTGTTGTTAACCTTTTCAAAGTTTTCTCTCTCTTCCCCACCTCGATTTAAGGCGACTAAGCAGCCAAAGAGAAAGAGGAGGCACACACTGTGTGTGTGTTTCGTGTAGGGCTGTGCTTTGTGTGTGTGTGTGCATTTAGGCTTGGGGGTGTTGTGGCTGCAAGCAAATGCCTGATAGGCTACCTTTTTTGAGTGATGTCCTTCACGCCCCGCCCCCCGGCCCTTGTGCATGGTTTTAATGCAGCTGATCCAGTCTGCAGCTTTATTTTGTCTGTGCTGGGCAAGAAAGCATCCTTGGCAGACAAAACCTGGATTTCAGGCTTTTGTTTGGTTTTGTTTTTCAAAGAGTGGGTCAAGTATATCTATTTGCACATGGTTTGCTTTTCATCACTTGTGTGTATCCCCCCCGAAAATATGTAAGGAACAGCCGTACTGACTTTGGAAACCCTGTTTCAAAGCTCCTTGCAATAGGTGTCGCCCAGTGGGTGGGGAATCATTTCTCACACTCACCCCTCCATGTGTTCAATCAGCACATTTTGATGGAATCTGTCGCTTGCCCCAGCCCTTCTGCATGGCTTCTCTTATCTTCCGCTTCTATGGCAACTCAGCAGTGCCTAGCACAAAGGAAAGATCCTCTGTCCTTCTGATATGATACCAATTTCATAAAGGCTTGTCACTTGTAGTTATGGAGCCGGTGGTTGCTTGTGAAAGGCGTTCTAGGCTGGTACGATTCACCCTGTAGTATTCCACACACTCACACCCCGAGTTTGATTTGAAGTTCCTTAGGGTGTTACTGTGCACCTACAAGTCTTTCCTTAGCTTGGCAATGCATGTAGTAGGAATCCTACGCGAAGCATTTCAACGTGGGATGACCCCCCCCCGTCCTCCTTTGCAAGGACTGACAGTGGCAGAAGGGAGATCAGAGGCCTCACAAGTTGTCTCCCAACAGCAAACGGGCCACTTGGGCACCATCTTCCCTGTTATTGTGAGACCCGTATTGTATTTCTATTTAAATTAAATTTAAATTTCTAGATTTGCATGTATATTACCCCATGCAAATGTTATGTCCTCTATTGCCCTATTGGGTTCGGTACGGTTGGCAGTGCATTTTATCTTTTTGGCAATGCCACAGTGATCACCCTAGCATGCAAATGTGCATGTGTGCGCGCGCACACACACACACACACACCCCTCTCGGGCTCCATTCATTCTGACACCTGCCTGCCAAACAAAACTGGTCACGACGAGTGCCTGCAACAATGCCAGAGGCAGAGTGGGGGAACAGAACCAGTAGATAAAAGCAGAGACTCAAATCACCCCCACGATGTGCTTCTTTCTTCCTTCGTTCCTACTTTTATCATTTGCATCCTTTCCCAAGTTCTCATGTTTCCCCACTGCCTGATAATTCTGCTTTTCCTCGCAAAAACATAGGCTGCTAATGCTGGGCATTTCAAGTCATCCCAAGGTGTCGCTTGATCTTTTGAGTTTTAAACCATTCATCTGAGTTTGCATCTGTTTTCATATAAACAGGATGGCAGTTGTGCACGTGTGTGTGTGTTGCAATTAGCACCATCTTAGAAAATGCATGCTCTTCAAATTTTTAAAAGAACTTTTTTAATAATAATAACAACAACAACAACAACAACCCATGTTGCCCAGTGAATTTGAGGGTGCTTTTCCCCAGTCGATCAAGAGGTTTTCAAGCTGTTCATCTAGCTCCTTGATCATCCCTAATCAGCCGACCCTCTTACATCCCTTGCGACGAGATCTCTGACAGCCTTGGAGTTGGTTCTGTAGAAAAAGGTCCACTGGACCCAGGTGAGAGCGAAACAGACAAGCGGAACCATAACAGCATGGCAGCCTTAAGAGAAAGAAATCGGTTCACACCACTGGAGATGCTTGTGAACCAGGTTCAGTGCCTGCCAGCATGGAGGATCCTTGAGAAGCTGCTGTGGTCCTCGCCTGCTCAGGCCTGCTCCCATCTTTCCTCCAGTCAGTGCCAGGCACCCAGGCCTTTGTGGGGGCTGCCAAGTTTAATTCCATTGGGTTCACCCTCCTGCATAGGGACCCACAGACCTAGGAGAGGGTCCCATCACCCCAGCCATCGTTTCTTGCTCTTCCGGACTCCCTAGTACTCAAGCCAGTAGCTTTGCTCCAAGGTTCGCTTCGCAAAGAAACTACCTTTTCCTTCCCAGCTGTTTCTGAAAGGCAGTTCTTTAGAAGCCAGCTTTCAAAAGCCGTGGGGTTTAACACAGCCACCTATTCTCTGCCAGCTCTGCATTTAACTTTCCAGCTGTACGTAGTTACTTGAATGTATCAAAAGTTGTCCACAACCATCCTAGTTGCTCTCCCCATGTCCTTCACATCACACACAAAAAAAGATTATGTGGTTTACAGAACTTCGATAGATAGATAGATAGATAGATATAGATATATTTTCCTCAATACTTGAAATTTAGCCACTGCGCTTGGATTACAAATAGTAGAGGCAAGCTATCTCTTTTTGCCACCATGTGGGTGATTTTAATATTATTTTTCAATCTTAAAACTGCACGCAAGCATGAAACGTCAGGTGGGTGGGTTTGTGTTTGTGTGCTTTTGTTTTGCTTTCGGTGGGAAAACTAGTATTTATTGCTTTTTTAAGGAATAGAAGAGAGGTTTGGGAAAGAGAGCAAGGAAACCAAGCAGATGTGGCTAATCCAGTCTATTCACTCTCATTCATGGATTTGTTACTGTCTCAGCGTCCCGTTTGTAGCGTCCTCACTAGATTTCAAGGAACCTCAGCCCTGATAACGTGTATGTGAGAAAGTGTGCTGTATGGGGGTTTTTCCCCCACATGGTTATGCTTGATAACTTTTGTTGGTTGTTATTTTTTAAAATTTCATGTTGTGTGACTTTTTTTGTTTTGTTTGTTCTTGCTTTAAATTGTACAATGCCGACTTAAGAAAATAAACTGATTTTTAATTGTTCGTTCTTTGTGCGAGGACTGCTACTGTACCTTTCCATCTGTTCACAAAAAAGGGATGTTTTCTAAAACATGTATCCAGCTACACTGGCATGAGGACTTTGAGGTGCACAAGGACTTTGAGATGCCCAAAGGAACTAGCTAGCTCCCCTCTAAATCTGTTCTGGGAGGTTACACCAACACCCTGTCAAGCCTAGATCCAGGAAATGCTCATAAGCCATTGTTTCATTTTTATATGCAGTCTTGTATAACCCCCACCCATCCCGCCCCCATTAAAATTCTAAAGTGATCTTCTACATGGGTGTATTATGCCAATAGCTTATCAGCAATTGCCTCTTAATATGGGAGCACCTCTGGTTTAAATGATGTCAATCGGATAACAGCTTTTTGGGTACTCTGGATGCAGCCTGTCCTCTGTGTGTGTGTCATCATTGTCGTCTTCTGTAAAAGTACTTTCCCTTGGCCAAGGCTGAATAAAACCAGTGAGAAATGTGTACAATTCAACCCCACACATTTCTGCAGACCGAAGCTGACGTACAATCTGACCTCTGGGGCAGCTTAGCTGCGATGGAGGAGGCCTGAGAAGTTTGCCGGGAATCTCAGAACGGGAGCCTGTTTGGCGTGAAAACCTAAGCAAACGTTTCCCCTTCAGAAGTGTGGGAAGAAATCTGGAGTAAAGGAGGGGCTTGTCTAAGGTTACCAGATTCCCCCCCAATGAATCCGGGGACACTTTTCAACTTCAGTAGGAGTGATAGGATTTTGTATGGGGACTGATTTGTAAATCTGGGGACTGTCCCGGGAAACGGGGACACCTGGTAACCTTAGGCTTGTCATTTTCGTGCGCTGCATCCCAGCAAAGAGTATTCCGTGGCAGACTAGTACTGGCAGCAGAGGCTTCATATACAGTGGTGCCTCGCAAGACGAAATTAATCCGTTCCGCGAGTCTCTTCGTCTTGCGGTTTTTTCGTCTTGCGAAGCACGGCTATTAGCGGCTTAGCGGCTATTAACGGCTTAGCGGCTTTAGGAAAAAGGAAACAAACTCGCAAGAACTTGCAAGACGTTTCGTCTTGCGAAGCAAGCCCATAGGGAAATTCGTCTTGCGGAACGACTCAAAAAACGGAAAACCCTTTCGTCTAGCGAGTTTTTTGTCTTGCGAGGCATTCGTCTTGCAGGGCACCACTGTAGAAGGAGTGCCAGTTGCCATAGGTAGGTCTCCTTCCCGTGAATTTGTCTGGCCCCCTTTCAAAGGGCATCTACATGAGCGGCCATTGCCACCACCTCTTCTTTTCCAGAGAATGCGACCCAATTGCCTTCTCAATCCAGATGCGACCCAATTGCCTTCTCAATCCGGCCTGCGGACGGTCCGGGAATCAGTGTGTTTTGACATGAGTAGAATGCGTGCTTTTATTTAAAATGCATCTCTGGGTTATTTGTGGGGCATAGGAATTCATCCCCCCCCACAAAATACAGTCTGGCCCACCACATGGTCTGAGGGACGGTGGACCGGCATATGGCTGACAAAGGTTGCTGACCCCTGAACTATCCTACTGTACAAAAGTAAATTTTGCAATCATTGCTTTACCCACGATTGCCCCTGGCATGTGGCGGCTTGTGCAGAAGGGAAGGCACCCCTCAGGCTCAAAGGGGTTCCCCAGCCCTGGTTCACAAAAATGGAAATGAGAGGGCATACTATGCATTTAAAGCATATCTCCCTCATCCACCTGCATTATGGGAACTGTGGCTTACCCAGAGAGCTACAGTTCCAGTACCCTTAAGCAAACTACAGCTCCTGGGATTCTTGGAGGAGAGCGGTGTACACTAAACGCATGGTACCCACTGCAGGCTTTGCAATCTCCCCTAAAAGCTTCCTCCTCCTGCAGTTCCACATGTCGGTTTGGAGGTGCAGGCTGCCCTCTGCTGCTCACTTCGGGGAAAGAAGATAAGATTCTTGCAGTGGCAAAAGTGCACCAGTCTCAAAAACGGCCTCTTTTTTCACTTGCTCCTTCAGTTTTTTCAGACAAACCATAGGATGTTTATACTGATCGGATTACATGCCCATTACATATGAAATCCGCCTTTCTACTAGCTGGCACAGTGAAGGTTTCACACCACCAATTAGAATAGGTGGTGATTTGCTTGGCCATATGGCTTTTGGGTTATCCATTTCCCCCCCTGTCCCTTAACTGCACTTCTGTGCTGTTTCCTATGCCCCTTCCAGCTAATCTCTGCCCTGCTTTCTTTTCTGCCTCGTTTCTTTTATGTTGCTGCCGCCAATCATTTCTGGGTGCAACTTTCCTATCTGAGGGCAATTTACTTGGAAGAAAGTATTTTTGCACTTCGTGGGGTATGCTTCTGTGTTGGAGTGCCTGAGACTAAGGAACACAGGCTGGAATATCCTTTATTATTCACTTGTAGGATCGGTGATCGTCGAAGCACATTGTTAGCTGCATTCAGAGGTGAAGTTTAGCTGGAGTGCAGTAGCAATCTAACGATGCCCTGAAACCACAGGCATTTCCCTTATTTTCAACAAGAAACAATGATAGAAGGAAGCGTCAGCAGATTTTATGCAATGCTTAAACATTGAGCATGGGCTTTTTAAAAAAATGAGCAACATGACTCTAGATCTGAAAAACTAATAGGCAGAATTTTTGGCCCTGGTCTAATGATAGGTGAGAACAGTGAACAGACCCTCCATAGTTCTATGCTTCAGGGTTTCAGCAGGCAAAACAGATTTCGAAAATGTGTGTTTTCACCTGTGGTGCAGGTGTGCCTAAATTGATTGTGGGCATTTCCTCCCACTTCTGGTGAGCCAGGGCGGCTCAGCAACGCAACTGCTTGTCTCCAGTGGAGGCAAGCTCCTCTCTCACAGAGAGCCATTCCTCCAGACGATGAGAGTAAGTCCAACCCTGGCAGGCATGTCCAAAGCCCCTGTGGCAGTTCTTTGGGGTAAAATCTACCACAGCACTGACTGCGACATGGTCACTCCCTGGTGGTGAGCAAAGAGGACCTGTAGCCAATCTAAGGTTCTGCACTTGGGCAGAAAGAACCAGCTGCACCAATATAACATGAAGGACACCTGGTTTGCTGGTAGGGAAAAGGATCTAGGGATCTTAGTGGACCACAAGCTAGGGAAAAGGATCTAGGGATCTTAGTGGACCACAAGCTTAACATGAGGCAACCTGAGAGTGTGTAAGAGGCTTGGTAAACAAATCAGCAATATTATCCTGTGATTGACAATACTCCAGTTTGATTACCCCATTCTGTACACAATCTTTAACATTTGCATGACGGATAGCAATATGTTTTGATGCGGATTTCATTATTTCCAAGCCCGCTAACGCAATGCACGATTGGCTATCTTCACACACTTGGATAGGCAAATCTACTTTACAATCTAGATCTTTTAGTATCTGTATAAACCACATGATTTCATTGCATGCTAGCGACAGGCTCCCATATTCTGCCTCACAGGATGAGGTCGCAACAAATCCTTGTTTCTTTGACTTCCATCCAATTATGGAATTGGCAAACATCATAACCATTCCACTTGTAGATTTTCTAGTAGCTACACAGCTTCCCCAGTCCGCATCAACAAATACTTCTAGTTTTTCGTCTTGTGTACTAGATATCTTCAAACATACATTTAATGTCCCCCTTAGATATCCGATAAGCCTTTTCAAAGCACACCAATCGGCAGTACTGGGTTTAGATACATGTTGGCTCAGAACATTTGTAGCACATACAACGTCTGGCCTTGACCACTGGCTTAAATACAGCAGTGATCCTATTTTTGAGTGATACAACTCTGGCTGATCAAATTCATCGTCACACACGGTCTTTGGGGAATCTGGTGTCATGGGAGTCTGAACTGGCTTGCAGTTTTCCATGCCAAACTGCTCTATCAAACGAAGAATTTTCTCTTTCTGGCTCAATAGGAAGCTTCCTGCCTTACTTCTACTCCCAAGTAATTGCTTACAGGCCCTAAGGCTTTAAGCTTAAACTTCTTTTCCAGTTGACTTGTGAGCTTCTGGATCTCATCTGTGGAACTCCCTGCTACAAAGACTAAGAGCATTAGATATTTGTTGCCTGCCCCCTTTGGTGTACAGACATGGATCAGCCACACTCCTTTTAAAACCAAGTTTTACAAGGGCTTCATTTAAACACTGGTTCCAACACCTTCCACTTTGTTTGAGACCATAAACAGCCTTTTTCAAATGCCAGACTGCACCATTCCCCTCTTCAAACCCAGGGGGTTGTCTCATTAACACTTCATGGTCTAAATTTGCATGCAGATAAGCAGCATCAACATCAAAATGGTGCACTGCTAATTGTCTTGCAGCAGCAATAGAGAGCATTAAACAAAAAGTTTCACTCTTTACAGTTGGAGAAAACACTTCATCATAACTCTCCCCTTTAATCTGAGTGAACCCTCTGGCTACTAATCTGGCTCAAAAACGTGGTTCCCCAGATGCAAGGGTTTTCCTTTTATAAACCCACTTGCATGACACCACTCTGCCACTAGGTGGCGGCATTATGACCTCAAACACTTTGTTACGTTTAAAAGAGTCCATTTCTTCTTTCATAGCTTGTTCCCACAAAGCACGTTCCCCAGGGGGCAAGTCTAAGACTTCATTATAACTTTGTGGTTCCACACAACTCACACTGCATACTTTCATTCCTCCTAGGGTCAAACGCTGAGGAGGTACACCCTTGTTTGAACGCTGGGAGTGCCTAGGCACAACTACTTCTTCTTCCCCCCTTATCTCTGGCTCTTCTTCCTCTTCCTCTAGAGAAGTATTATCTATTGCCACATCTTTTGGGGAAATCTGTGCCTCCTCCTCATCCTGCTCCTGTGTTGCCAATGGCTGAGAAGAAGCCTCTTCTCTTACTTGCAGAAGCAGTAGGAAATCTGGGTTGGCATGGATCGCAGTCCATCTGTCCTGGTCAGCAAAGTCTGCACTTCATGACAGAACCACGCGTTCCGGGCGTAAATTGAAACGCCAC